TGCGGTTAAGGGCCAAAAGGACGCGGCCAACTGGACTATTGATCGCTTGCTTTGTTGCAGACGCGGAAGGATTCTTATTTTATCCAGCTCCTTTTGATTGTTCTCGACAATTTTTGGGACGCAATAGGTCTGTTTGTTTTAGCCAACCTGGCTGCGCTAGTTTAAAGTTTATTTTTTTTACTCGACATTTTGGAAGGAAAAAAATAAACCAGAGATTAACCAGTGCAGCTGAAGCCAACAGACCATATTATTTTATCCAGCTCCTTTCAATTATTCTCAAATTTGGGAAATTAGAGGTCTGTTTGTTTCATCTAAACTGGCTGCGCTACTTTAAAGCTTATCTTTTTTACTCGACATTTTGGAGGGAAAAAGATAAACCAGAGATAAGCCAGTGCAGCTAGTTTATTTAAAACCAACAGATTTGTTAATTTGAAAAGAGAAATTTTTAAGAAGATGAAATAATTCGAGCAAACGGAATCGATTCTCTTGACATTTAATTTAATATTATAATCTCGATATCGATGATCAGATATTTGAGTCACATCAGGATAAGGTTTGATAATAAATTAGTCATACTTATATTAGAGAGAGGCTTAAATATACGATCCATAAGCTTCTAAGGAATTGAGATAAGAAAACGCGACACACAACCTGATTAGATAATGGTTTATTTTTTTCTTTTCATCGATCGATTAAACAAAGCTGGTCGTTGATCTGGCGTTAATTTTATCAGATCACACTTATATCCAATTAGAGTAGACAGCTGATAAATATTCATTGCATCGCCGAATTTAATTATACGAGAATAGCATGAATTTAATGATTCATTATTTTTTTACAGCGCTTTTTATTGACAAAAAATCTATAATGAATTCCTTTTTTTCGTGATATATTCGCGATATTCATCAATTTTGTCGAAATCTAGACTGCGTGAGTCAAATTTAAAATAATATAATATATTTGTATAAATAATTACAATATATTTACATCTCTACATATTATCATATTTATAGACTTATTATATTACAAGAGAGAGTTGATTCCATTTGAATACATATAAATTAATATAATATAATAAACAATAAATTAACATATATGAATTATGATACAATAATACACAATAAACACGTAAAAAATAGAGGGTGGGAAAAATTGAACCGCAGGAATGGCTTTGAACTTGATCGAGAGAAGAAAACAGAAGAGAAGTCGAGGAATATTTCACCAATAAGAGGAGGAAATAAATTTCGATAGTTCCCGTAGCTTTTTGCATTATCATCCCCACCACGAAGTCTACCTTCTCCTCTACTACATCGTCTGCAGCTGTTGCCCCTCCTTCTGTTTTTCCCTACCTCCGGTCGGCTTCTCTCTCTCTTCTCTTCTGGCTCGTCCACCGCGATAGCGAATATCGAACCAGCCTCGTCGACGTAGTGCGAGGTGCGCACGCGTTCCCCGAGTATACCCTCGAGGGGTCCTTCGCGATCCTGTCTGCCTGCCGGCGACGGTCGCAAATCGGATTCCGGCGGATGCACCGGTTCAAGTATAAGTGTACGCGGAACCCCGCCGTTTCGTGGGTCAAAAAAGATCACCTGCGAAACCTTCCGCGCGCAGTCCTACCGAAGGACTCGTCGATGAGAGTCCGTCCGGACCGGACGCGGCCTCGCGCGATGACGAGACTTCCGCCTGGAAGGGACTGAGCGATTGTTTTGGAAGGGAAAAATGCCTACTCCTTCCTGACGAGTGATTCGCAGTGGGTTCCCAGTGAACGTTTTATCGCGATAAATGTTTTCATGATGGATGTTTGGGGACGCGTTCTTCGAGCTTAGAGAGAAGTTCGGTTTAGATAAAGATTGTGGTAGAGTAACGTCGAATGAGCTTACATGGGTCTCTTTAAAAGGCCAACTACGACGATCCGGTTGTGGTAGACAGACTGCAATTTAGACTCGTATGAGATGATGTTTGACGTTTCGTTGACGTGACAGAGATTTTCAAAAATTATTTTTTTTAATTAGGTCTGTTCTCTTTAGTTCAGAATTCATCTTTCTCACTCCACATTTAAAGGAAAAAGATTAACTCTGACTGCAGCCAGTTCAGCTAAAAAGAACAGACCAGCTCAACTCCAATTTAGACTATAAGAATAATATTTGACGTTTTGTTGTGGATATCATAAAAATGACCTAATTTTCTTTGTTTTTTTTTCTTAACGTCAAATGATCTTACTTAAGCCTTAAAAAGGCAAAGACGATGATCCAATTGTTGACAGTTTCAATGTAAACTATAAGAATATTTGACGTTTCGTCAACATGACATACAGATCTTCAAAAACGACCTGATCTTCTTTGCTTTTTTTTAACGTCAAATGATGATCTTACATGCGAGCAATGACGCGACAATCCAGTTGTAAGGGTCAGGATCCAACTTTAATTGAGACTCGTATAGGAATATTTGACGTTACGTCAACGTGATGCATATAGATAATCTTCCAAAATACAACGTGACTTTTTTCCCATTTTAAATCATTCCTCTCGACTATCTCTCATCCCACGAACGTCATCGCTGTCGCGTGAGTCGTTCCAACCCCGGATAGGTACGATGCATTACTGCGTTACACGATGCGAGGCCGCAGTCGTATATTTAACGTGACATTAAGATTCGCTTATAATGCCGGGTAGAGTCTATATATGGGACTATATTGATTTTTCGAATCCAGGATAAATCGATGAAATTAGCATACACTCGCTCACGCGATGTTGACTTTAGAAATTGCCAAAATTTGCCCTATTAAAACTGCAATTAATTTATGACGATGTGCTCCAATTTTTGGAATTAATTATCTGTCAATCGCGAGCTTTATTTTTTACAAATATATATGTATTAAAATTTCTCTTTCTCGAGCAAGTAGAAATAACGTGATGATATTTATTTGTTTCATTGATATGTGAAAAGTTCGACAAGAATGTGAAATGTAGCGAGTACATAAAGTATCCCGAAAGAGATTTCAACAAGATAACTTTCACTCGGCAGAATGACTCATCTTCTTCGCGAGTTCGCGAGTTTAATATTGTTATGAAAATGAAGAGAAAAGAGTATATATACACATACACATATATATATATATATATATATAGAAAGAGCGAGAATCGCTAACGAGCGGGAACGAAAAAGGATCGTGAGAGGAAAATGAGGAAGACTCCGAAGACGTTAATTGCTAGAGACGGAAACACGCGACAAAACGAATGTGAAATAAATGACAGCATTAACTAAATTATCCTCGCGTTTCTCGAAGCTAATTGAGCAAAAGTGTATAACTCGACTCGGCTATTTATAATTTAGATAAATAACTCGCGGTACGCATTAATGAAAAAAAGAAAGGCTCGTTAATCAGCCCGCAAAATATTACATTACCGTTATCCGAACGAAGATCTAGAATCTAGATTGAAGTACATATATTGTATTCACCCAGATCTATTTTCCTCTTTCTCGATTCCACTTTATTTACCTGCCTATCGACCTGTCATTATCTCGTATAACTTCATTTGCGACGTCCTCGGGAATATATGACGCGAAATACACACACACACACCTATATATATATATATATATATATATATATATATATGTTTGTGATTGAATTTCCGTAATTAACGGCGCGATTGTGTAATTAAGGGTTTCAACGAACGCGTCTCGGGAAAGTGACCGCGACTTGCGATAGCACATCCGCACCGAATTACTCATCGTCGAGGTGTTCCCTCCTAGGTTCTTATGCTAAGCCCTCTCTTTTCTTGTATTTCACCCTCCGAACACTCCGTTCCGTCCGGCTAAATATGCCTGTCTATCTTCTATTTACATTGCGTCTTCCCGCCTAGACGAGACTTCCCGACTCAGCTGTCAGCTGTCAGCTGTCAGTGATAAACATTATATATATAAATTAAATAAATTTCATCTAATTTATTCGATTTATTTAATAATTAATTTCATTTAATAAAAGAAAAGCAGTTGCAGAAACTGGAGGCCATGAATTAAGAAACAAATAAATTAAATAATATAAAAATAAGTGCTTATACCGAATATTATATTTTTCTAACGAGACCGACCAATATTTCGTGATTAAAAAGAAGAGGTGCTGAAAGTTCCTTCACCAGTGAGTTCAGTGAAACTTGCGAGACCAAGGATAAATAATTAATCCGCTGGAAGATACGTATTTCGCGACGAGGATGGCCTCCACCCCGTCGTCCGAGATCTCGAAGGGCGCCCGACGACGCACCACCGGGTTGCCGACCCGCGTACGCGTCCAGGAGAACAACGTCATCGTCGGCGAGGACGGACGCGACGACTCCGGCCTCTCCTCCGAGAGCTCGACGCCCACGAACGGATCGCCGCCGCCGCGACAGCCCAGGGCGTCGGGCCAGGTCTCCTCTACCACGTCCAACGTCGTCGTCGTCGGCACCGCTTCCTCCGTGGCAGCCGCGCGAGCCAAGAATAGCCCCGGAAGGTAGTGAACCTGCCTCGTCTGAGCCGGGGAAAGCGAAGTCGCTGTCGGATATTTCCGAGTATTAAATAGGAGAGATGTGAGATATGTAGCGAGAAAATTGGATGCTGCTCGGAAATTAGATGCTGCTCATTTTTATTTTTTTTTCTTCCTCCTGAAGAGAGATCAGCATGATTTTTTTCAAGTTATGGATGCTTTCTTCTTGAACCTCCTGTTGGATTTATATTTCCGTTCACGAGAGCCATCATTCCTTGCTTATATTAATATTTTAATCCTTGGAATTTTTATATCGTATTAATATTTTTATATTAAATATTAATACTATATTTATATTTCAATCTATGTAATGACATGACGAATCATTTCGTTCTGCTTCATTTTGTGTTGGAGGATGAAAAGAATAAATTTTTAGAATGCTGAAAAAATGCTAATCCTCTTCGAGAACGTAGAAATTTAGAAATATGTCAACATATAAGTACTAGAGATGACGAGAGTTTCACTTTTTTTGTTGCAGAATCGGAAGTGACAGGATGTCAAGGTTGTTACGAAGCAGATCCGGAACAGAGTCACCGCGTTCGTTAGACAACATGCGTAATCGTCAAGTTTCTAGTCCTATGAGAACGTCGGGAAGTGTAAGTTAAATTTTTCTCCATTCTCAGAGATTCAATTTTGAATTTATACACTTATGCAAAATATCTCGTTGATCTCCAGGTTTCATCCTCGTGCGTCGATTCCGGGGACGAGTCCAGCCTCAGGATAGATCGGGGAACGTATCAATACATGTTCCAGGACATTGTCTCCATAAAGACGATGCTCCTGAAACTTAAACGAGTCCTTCAGGAGGTATATATAATAAAAATAATAATGATTATTATTATTATATATTATTATTATAAATGCACGATACTCGCTTGCACTTCACGTTTGCACGTTTGCTTTTCTTTTTTTTTTCTTTTTTTTAATTAACAAAATTTTTTTCGTCTCACAAAAATGTGTTTTGCGCGTTTTGTACGATGCCGTACTTGAATTACAGTTTACCTTTAGTTCATGTTACACATTATCCGACCGCAAGCGTTGTTTATTTCATTACTTATACACACAGTATGTTTTTCGCCTTTTTTATTTATTAACACGATTCTTCTTATTTTCATTTTTGTCGTCGTCCTTCCTGATTTTTACATCTCAAGTCAGGGGAGAACGATTTGACGAGGGTACGTTACATTTTTATTTTCTTTACATTTTTGTCACTAATTTAATATCACCTCACTCGCATGTGTGTGTGTGTATATGTAATACATATATATATATTTAATTATTTAAATTAATATTTATATTATATTAAAATTATATTAAAATTAAATCCATGTGGGACTGAGTAAAAATCATATACTCACAAATTATAATTACAAAAAAAAGAACAGCTTTAAATTTTTCTTATTATATAATACTATCTACTTACTCAGTCCTGACAATATAATATGAGTTACGAGAATTCTCGCTAAAAATAAACGAACGAGTTATTAATCTGATATTGATTTTTAGGCAGAAACTCTCAACCCATTCGATAATCCGAAGGTTGGTATATTTATTATATAAAGAAATTTATTTAGAGAAATTAGATTGAGGATATTTTTCAAACCTTGACTCAAGTAAAGATAAACATTGCCGATTTCCCAATTACACTTACAGAATGGTCTCTTCTGTAACCTGAACGAAAGCGGTACCACCGACGTGAGCACGTCACCAGGAAGCGGTGGTAGCAGCATCGCGGACGAACTAACGGACTTGAGGAGACAGGTGGTGTTTCTTCAAGGCCAAGTAGAGGACCGAGATCGTACCATACAATCGCGAGATCGCACCATCGAGCTACTTGAGGTAAATAACGAGGTAAATCGTTCATCGCGATTAACCGTATATTGCTCTGTGAAAAAAGCTCGCTTCAAGACCGAGAGATCTAAATCCTAAATCGGTAATCATTCACCAAGTGAGTTTTTTTTATTAAAAAATAAACAAATAGCTTGATTAACGAATATATTGATCTTTGCAGCTCCAGATGTCGAAGCTACAAGGACCTAAGAACGGCGACGCTCAAAGTTGCATCCTACCGACGCGAAATAACGAAATCTCCTTGATAGACACGTGTAACGCCGCTACGCAAACGGAGAAGGTACTATCTTCTTCTACGTAATCGGACGACATGTTCAATCCCCTCATCTTGCATCATTTAAGTTCGATTTTATCTTACGTATTATTATTACGTAGTCGTATTTGTTTTACGATTTCATATTTCGTTTATTATTATTGTTAACGTTATTTTATTGCACTCGATTACAAACAAAACACATGTTTCATTTGCGACTCTAGACACGTCCAGTATCAGCGGGACCCTCGCTCCTACAATCACTCCCACAGGATGGTGTTACGGGGCCTCTCGTTAGGTGAGAGTTTATCTTGTTTATCTGTCTGTCCGATCGACAATTAATGCATTGATATTTATCACGAACTAAATTCTCATACATACGTATTTAATCTTGAATTCGACGTAAAACATTTTTCTCGTAATTAATCGAGTACTCCGTCACTGATTGTCGAATAAAAGTTGCACGCGAATTATTCTATTGACAATCGTATTTAAAATGTACAATATTTTTATCTTTCTGTGTGTCATGTGCATCATAAATAATATATTTTTTTTACTCTGGTCCCGCCCTTTACTCGGGTAATTCCACGCGAAGCAGCTTCAGGATCGGGAAGGTAGAGTGCGTCAGTCTGTGTGACTTAATATTGGGATATGTACTCCTTTCTGCATTTAACGCCCTCATATTCATGCACCTCTTCTATTTTCGTACCACTTGTTTGACAATTGGTTATTGACAATTGCGTTTCAATTTTTTGCATGCGATTAAGTAATTTGACTTTTGTTCCATAATGATTTTCCTAGTTATTCAACCAAGGCAAATCTTATCAAAATTATAAAATTAAACTGTGTTTTATTGTTTCGATATAAAGTAAAACAAATTTTGTTCCGTACTAATTAAAATATAATATATATAATTGCATTGATTGGTTGAATAGCCATAAAACAATTATATAGTTTTTGTACTTGTATATTATTATTCCTTATGTTCAGCTTCATGTCATGTCCATGATGAATTTATTTTTTATTTCGGAAGAAAATATAATCGAGCGATTTTACATGATCGACTAGAGCCTAATTTTTCTTAATAATCGATGTAAATCTCGAGAATATTTTTAATCTATTATTAAAGCGCGCGAATGCGTATAGTTTCGTAGATCAATATTGCTTGCTACATATTTACAAAACCGATGTTCTTGGCATGTAACATAATGTATATGGCCTCAATGCTAGCGTAACAATTATATTACCTCGATATCCTCCTCCTATCAATAAATTAATATATATATATATATATATATATATATATATATATACATATATTAGATTTACAATTCGTTAATATATAATTCGTAAATACAAATAATGTTTCATGCTGCTTTGAATAGCCGTGTGCGGTGAGTTCTTTCTACTCTCGACTTTAAATTCTTGTTTCTCACTCGAGAATTAAATGTTTCAATGTACCCATTTACAGGGTATTCCATAGGAAATTGTTGAAACTAATCAACAGTTATTTTTTAATGCTTTTTTATCAATCAACTAAACTGGTATACAAACATTTTACTTATATCTATTAAAAACTGCAGACTTAATTCCTCTTACCAACACAATTTTTGTTTTCTCAATAATTGCATGCATTAAAAAACGACAGCTGATTAGTTTCAGCAATTTCCTTATTAGGGACACCCTGTATTTTCACATTTCTAATAATGACAATTTCTCGATTGCAGTTGGAGTGATTCGTCGGACCGTCAGCGATTGTCGATGCTCTCCGAGCTTAATTCCTCCGGGAGTCATCATCGCAAGCCAACCGAACGTTTACCTCATACGTTAAGACTCCGTCAGGAGCAGACCCTGACGCGGGGTCGGGTCAACGCGCACGCGAGGAGACACTCGTCGGAGGCACTCGTCTCCAACTCGCTTATCAAGCCGAAGGAAGTCATCTGCGACTCGAATAACGCGGAACAGCGGGACGCCACCAAGGTAGAGGGAAACACGATCAAATCCCTTATTCCGACGCCTAGGAAGCTTCGGCTTTAACGATAAGAAGAAGATATGCGGCGATTATCTTCTCTGTGTAGCAACGTTTCTTTTTCGTTCCAGACGTCCGAATCCCTGTCGAAGAACGCGTCATTCGATTTACATATATTATATACATATCTCTGAAATTTCTCTCTTCCGATAAATCTTACATAAATCGACAATAAGCTAATATTTTCAATTATATCGATTAATATAAATTATTTATTGAATTGTACGACTCATCTGTGATTCAGTTGATTGTTATTCGTCGTTTCGACACCGTGATTCGGACGTCCAAAACCAAAACGATCTCTCCTTGTTCGTAATTAATTTTACTGCGCACCACGAAGTTCATGTTTCTCGTGTAACGAACGTCGTTTCGCGCTCGTCTGATATATAATTTGCCGCTGTACTTATGTGACGTACTTGTGTAGAGAGTGTCGAGAGAGCACGAGATCATCTATTCCTGGATAGATATTTCGAGCAGCGTATATATATGTAATTCTCGCGCGCACGTATGAGTGCACATATACTTGTTCGTTATAATATATTAACGATGAAATTCCTTCTTTCAATTCGAGCGCAAAATTAGAGATTAATGAAAATTGATTAATGAATTTTTGCATCGCAAAAAAAAATCGCTGTATCTATTCGACGATCGGTCGAGATCTGGGCGGTAGAATGAGTATAATATATGTGTGTGGAGTTTTTTTTCTCCGCACAATTCCATCTTGGCAGCCGAAAATTTTGAAATTAAGCTCTATGCCTTTTTTGTTTGAATAAAATCTAAAAGGCAGATATACATATATATACATATATTTATTGGATAAAGAAATTTGTAATATAATTTACTGTAAATAGGAAATACAAAATTTACGTCAGGCATATTCGTGCAATTATAATCGAGAAAATTAATCAATTTTTTCGATGAGATATAAATTTAGAATCTTTGGCCAAATATTTCTTTTCGATGCAGACATACATGCGATTGTTTCAGAAAATGTTCAACTTAGTAATTTTTATGTATATATTTTTATTTAAATTTATTTCTTCTAAGAGAGAAAAAAGAGAGATTTGTTAAATATACAATATTTATATATGTATATATTATACGCATTTATCAGATAAATTTTCTCTCTACAATTACGTCACTCACTGTGATTCAAATGAGAAAATTAGATGCAATTAATTATTGTTTATAATGTCACATGCAAAAGTATTGAGATTTATCGGCGTTATTCAAATATCACGATTACATACGTTTTTTAATCATTTTGAGGAGAAGCAAAAGTTACATCTCTCGTGACAAAAAGACAACGGATTACGTACGATCGTAATTAGCAAAGCCAGGGTACTATGTAAATTCCATTCATTTCGCTTTAATTTATTTGGCGTGTTTGGTATGCGCTTGGTGCTAGAAAGCCTGTATATTCGATGTATGATATTTAGTCTCTCCTAGTCTCTCAGGCTCATAGTTACATCAATATAGTGCTGGATCAAATGTATTCGCGAATATAACAAAACAACTATTTTAAATATATATATATATATATATATATTGTAAATTTATTTCAAACTAAATTAAATTAAATGCTGCGTAAATTTCAGCATATTTCTGGCGAGAATATAGTTGTATCTGTATTACGTGTATTATATTTTGCACAATTTAAACAAATTAAACAAATTTCATCTAAATTGAACGAATTCTAATTGAAATGAATTTACAAAGAGGAATAAAGGAAAGGAAAAGTTCTTCTAAATAATACAGCGTATTGAAAAAGATAATGATAAAGGAGATCAGGAAAAACTAAATATCATACAATAATTGTATATTCATTTGTCTATATTTTAATTTATACGGTGATTGTATGCAAAAGTAGAAATAGAGAGAATGATGAAGCTAGAGTGAGGAAGAGAGAAAGAAAGAGAAAGAGAGCGAGAGAGAGAAAGATGTACATGAATCTCATTAATTTTTTAAGAAATATATTATAATAGAAAAATGTGGACTAGGGAAATTTTTTCCGCAGGGCTACTTTCGCGATCAAGTATTTGTGAAAATGTAGTATCGAGTAGATGTTCGAAATCCGCTTATTATTCATAACGAACCAATAGATCTGATACGGAATAAGTTAAGTGACACAGATTCATTGATATTATCGATCCGATGAGCAATCGAGATGGATATTAATCATCCGCTATTACGTCTCTGAAGAACGAGAAATTTGGTTGAATCTACAAGCAAAAATTTCGAAAAAAATCTATCGCAAATCTATTGTGTTTCGCATCATAATAAATGTTATGACAAATAAAGGATATACATAAGATAGCGATCACCTATTTATTCTCCGACAAAACGTCCAACGATTGTTCGATCGTAAAATAACTTAACCGATAAGAGTCTGCACACAGTTTTCAAAAATTCTCAAAATAACGACGATTGTCTCCGAAGAAGAAGAAGAAGAAAACATTCTATACTTTTAAATGTCCAATATAATAATAATAATATATACGCGCAAAACACAGATATCTCTAAGTTAACTCTAGCGACGTAGTGATGATAGCGGATTAATTAGGTGAATCGATAAATAATTAATGAAAGGCATCCACTCTTGTAATCATGATAAGAATTCGTACTTGTCAAGACGATTCGTCTCTAGTTCTCAATCATACGTTTCATAAATACGTTTCGCCTACCTAGTCCCAGAAATGTCACAATAAAGACAATTTTATTCGACTTGGAGCGTTTTTTCTCACCCAACTTTTTGCGAATCTAAATCGGTGCGAATTTTCGCAAAAGAAGAGCGAAATTTTCCTCGAATTCTGTTATTATTTTACAATAATATGTATATGATACCTTTAACGCACACACATTTGTATATATTTTGTAAATTTGATACGGAAGCTTGAAGTTTATATTGTCAAACTGATACGTGTCAAAACAAGTCTCGAATAATTCTATACATATAGATAGATAGATATAAAAGGAATGTGTCAAACTGATACGTGTCAAAACAAGTCTCGAATAATTCTATATATATAGATAGACAGATAGATGTAAAAGGAATGTGTACATTCGCGGTGGTACGTGTCAATTGAACAGATTTTTGTCGGACGTTTACGACGCTAGGCGTTTAAAGACACACGTTTGTTCCTGCATCTGGGATGTGATGGACAACTTGAGCACGATTCCGCAGGAGAACAGTACTTAAATGCGCATTTTCTATTTCATATATACATATATTTTTTACTTTTGACAAAACGTCCTCTGTGCTCCTCTCGTCAAAATCTGAATCGGTGTTCTCTAACTCTAATTCTAGTCATAGATCATCTCCTGGAGCGTTTCGAGCGAGGTCAGATTTACACGTGGATCGGTACCCTCCTCCTGGCGATCAATCCCGACGGCGAGATCTCCACCGACAATATTTACGACTTGTCACGCGCCAACGATCTGTACGACAACATCTGCGATGTATTTCGTAAGGAAGTAGTACCTCATATCTTCGCTGTAGCAGCCAGAGCTCGGTATAGAATAGTCGAAGGTCTCGGGAAGCCTAGTCAGGTAAATTCAGAAAATGTTATCCTCGAGTAACCTTCCCACACAAACGAAGTAATCTTCGATCTTCATGAAGGTCATCATCCTGAATGGTGAAACCGGGGCGGGAAAGACCTTCAATGCGTGGAGGGCGTTGGAATTTTTGACAACCAGAAACATCTACGAGGACAAACGTCAAAGACAGGACATAGCTTGCTGCGACATTGTCCAGAGAATCGCTGATGCCTGTCGTTTGATGTCTGCCTTCACTCTAGCGTCCACCGAGAGAAACGAGATTAGTTCCAGACACGTGGAGCTCTTATGGCTCGAGTACAAACTGGGCAGAGTTTGCGGCGCGATGATATCCTCGTATCTTCTGGAGAGGAACAGAGTCACGATGAGTCATTGCAATTTTCAGATTTTTAGCCAGGTGATTGTCTTCACCGAATCCACCAGTAGATGATATGTCATATCTTCACCGAGTCCGTCATCGTATATGTATATTCCAGATGATGACTGCGTTGACAGATCTAGAATTCGCGGATACCGGATTATCAGGGAACACGCGATACTTGATGACGAGCGATCTGGATCCCTCGAAGAAACAGCAGCTTCGCGATGGCCTTCGAGATACTCTAAGGGCGATGGATACGCTGGGCTTCACGCAGAATCAGAAGAAGAATATTTTTCAAGTTCTCTCCTTGCTCATTCATATGAGCGACATACGCTTTACGCAGGAGGACGATCATTGCAGGATCAACACCGATGATCAACGTAAAGAGTCCCATAGGAAATTGCTGAAACTAATCAGCTCTCATTTTTCAATGCATGCAGTTATTGAGAAAATGAAAATTGTGTTGTAAAGAGGAAAGTTTGCAGTTTTTAATGGCTATAAATAAAATGTTTGTAAACCAGTTTATTTTATTGATAAAAAGTAATGAAAAATGTGCTGACAGCTGATTGGTTTCAACAATTTCCTATGGGACACCCTGTATATGTAACCGATAATCTTTCATAGTAGAAAATTCATTTACGCTTTCGTCGATGACTTGAACTTGTTTGCAATGAGAATGAGAAGACTCTGTAGAGACCACTTGATGTTATACGATAATTTGCAGAATCCAAGGAAGCTTTGGAGAACACGTGTAAGCTAGCTCGTCTGCAGAAGGAGGATGTCGTCGAGTTGCTCACGTCCACCCTGATCAATCCGCAAAGTTCTTGGCGACGTCACACCGCTTATCGACGTAATCTCAACACGGAGGAGGCCTGCCGGTCCAGATTGCACAGCATCATCCGTCACTTGTATGATCTTCTCTTCCACTGGCTGATCAACTCCATCAACGGGATCCTGTCTGCTCGTCTGTTCAGTGAACGACTAGGTAATTATCAAAAATCTCTTCAAGGCTCTTTATATCTCTGCGAAATCGATACTCTAATAATTTTCTTATTCTTCAGGGATATTGGACATCTTCGGAATCGAGTGCTTCGATACGAACGGGATGGAGCAGCTCTGCATTAATTATGTCAACGAGAGATTGCAGCAGTATTTTATCGAAAATCTGGAATTTCATCGGAAGAATCTGCAGGAGGAGGGTCTCATTGAAGACACGGAACCACCGGATATCGTGCAATTGTACGAGGATCGCTTGAACACGATTGAGAAACGTTTGTTCGCTACTCTCAACGACGTAATGTCTCCACTGAATCTTTAGACTATAAATATACATTTAATAAGAACTAATAAGACATACATGTATGTATAGATTCGGCGTAGAACAATTAACCGTGAATCTTCGTATAGGTATGTTTATCGACAGTCCCGAGCGATTCGTCCACCTTAACACGACAAGTTTCTGCCAACGGTTGTCCCGAGACGAGACGATTCTTGAAGGTGAAGAAGCACAATTTTGTTATACAGCATTTTGCTGGTGCCGTAGAGTATTCCATCAACGATCTGCTTTCCAAGAATATCGACAAGGTACAGACGAGTTGATCTGATCACATCGGTAAAACCTAAAACATCTTGTTACATGAATCTTAACTAATGATTAAAAACGTGATAGATCCCGGACGAGATAACTGTGACGTTTGGCGTGAGCAAGAACACGTTTTTGTATTGCTTACTTAACAAGAGTAAGTTATCTAAGGAAAATGGAAAAGCCAAAAAACCCACGATGCTCTCCAAGTTGCGATCTAATGTGGACTCGCTAATACGAGAGCTAAATAACTGCGACTCGCATTATGTTCGCTGTATTAAACTACGGTATAACATATTCAAAATGATAAACGCACTATTCAATTATTTATTTTCTCTTTTTAATAGAGATTAATTATCTACAGGCGACTCAATAATCGCGAATGGGACCAAAATGAGCTTCGCAAACAGCTGATTAATACGGGTATCCTCGATATTCTGCCTCTGACTAGGTGCAAATATCCGTTTCACTTCACTTACAAGGAGTTTTGCAAACGCTATTGCTTTAAACGTACGGCTCAAGTCTCACAATTTTTCAAAATTCAAGATTCAACAATTTAAAAAATTTTTAAGCCCTTGCATGTCGATTTACTTCTCTACAGAAACTTCCGACTTTCGTGTGGCTTGCAAGAAGCTGTTGGAGTGTCGTCCAAGGATGGATGGTGAAGATTATTCAGTACATTATGGGAAACATTTCGTTTTCTTGAAAGAGCATACGTTTTTACAGTTGGAATCTGCTAGGAAGCAACTTTATGTCAGATGTGTTAGAAAGATAGAATATTTCTGGCTAAGATATAGCAAGTATCTCTTTATGCAATTTCGTCTTTATACTGGTATAAATTTTACAGCACAATAAAATCCGCAAATTGTTAAAAAAATGTAAAAGCACCGTGCAACAGAAAATAGAAAGAATGCAAGCATCGAGTAATTTAAATATTAATAAAGCAAATGTTTTAATTCCACATTTTGAAAAAACGATGACAAAAATACAAACAAGAAGATCAAACTAATTTATTTCTATATCTGCAGGAAATCGTCGGCAACGAGATGTAAAAGGGAAGATGGCTGATGATGAAATGTTTAATTTTCAAAATGAGCAAGAACATAAACCTTTTATATCCATGGGAATATGCGTCCGCGCAGAGACGCATCGACAACAAAATGCAAGAGAAAATACATCCCGTGATGATCAAGCAGTCAATAATACTGATATTCAAAATGAATCGACTAAAAAGGATCTGTTGAAAAATAAATACGACGTGCAATTAATAGATTACTTTTCCATTATACAAGGAAAACCTCGATTTAAACCACCAAACGCATCGTACGATAAACGTTCATATATAATCCGTTGGTTAGAAAATGTGAGTAACGCGATGAATATGAAAAATATTGGATCTATAGTACCGGGAAATATCTCAATAAATCACGATCAATTCGACAATATTCGATCACAAGATATAAAATACACGCGCAGCTTAATTAACAGTAGGTTTCAAAGCAAACATGAGAATTCTGAAGATCGTAATAAAGTATGTAACATTAATACTGTAATATATCTGTCTCTTTTATATATGTCCATTCATTTAAAAAATTCTATTTAGAAAGAAGATGTACACGTTATACGGCATGATACTATTACATTATTCTACAAAAACGGGATTTTGAGTCGGCGTCGTCCTGCGAGGGTAAATAATGTCGAAATTAAAATTACGAGAGAAGGCAAGAATTAAGAAATTAAAAAAACATTATTTTTTACAGCTACCAGTTAGAGTACATACTCGTCTCACGTGCTTAACTAATTCGCATTACTTGGTACATACGGAACTGCCACAGGGTCTACAGGATTGTCTTTAAAATAATATTTGTACAATACGTGATTTATCAGGTCGTGCTATATATATAATAATTTATAGAAATAGATTAGTATATAAATTTAAAAAATTTTTTATATTTTGTTTGAATTAAAATAAGATTAAAAAGTTTAATTAAAATAAAAATTTCTGAAATTTTTATTTTAAATGACGTGAACAGGAACTCGCGCCATAAACAGAAATTTGTAAGATAAAAAATTTACAAGACGCTACGAAATAGATTTAGACTGGCAACTGAAAATCTATTCACGAAACAAGACAATGACAATAATAATTTCTTTAAAACTTAATTAATTAACGAAAATAATCTAAAATCACTATTAATGTAATATAAAATAATCAGTTGTATGTGTAATATTATCAATGTTCGAAAATAAAATTTATATTATAATTTATAAACAAACCTGTGCCAAATTATAAAAATTATATGGACTTTTCTTCCTATCTTTAACTACGAGCAGTCTGCGCGATGCGATTAGAGCGTGGGTGGCTTGAAGATCACTCCTCAGAATTTGATAATTAGCTCTCAGACTGACACGTCTCAAATTGCTGTGAGGAACTGGACGACCACCAGCAAAAGCAAATCTGTAAAAATATTTTCATATTTAAATTATGGGATACAACAAAATATACATTCACACACCTCCATATTATTATATTACTATGTATTATCTTATTATATATTATATATATATATATATATATATATATATGTATGTATATAATATATATAATTATTACATATATCATACATTATATAACATAGTTTCGTGAAATTTTATGTAATGCATACCTTATCTCTCGTCTTGGTCCTCTCAAGGTGGAATGTGGAAACGCGGTTTGTCGATCCCACAGTGTCCTGTTCTTAAGTTCTTTGTCTGTCAATGGTCTGATTTTAACATATTTCATCTTGCCTTTGATAATGATGGGTAGTGTGCCAGTCTTCTTGTGTCTTTTCTCTTTTGTATCATTGTCAGCATTAGCTGGTAAATAAGGTAATAACGAATCTCCATAATGCTCGAGCAAAGGGGCAAGTTCCAAAAAATGACCCTGAGATCTCACAAGAGCGCAAACAGCCAGCTATAATTATAAATATGGATAATGAATAAAAGCAACGTATATCAGAGTAATTAGAATAAAGTAAAAGTCAGTACTAACAGCTATTTGCTGCCAAATAATCGAGCCAGACGAAGCATAATAGAACAAAATATTCTCTATGGAAAGAATGTGTTTAGTCTCGTGTTGGAAAAATATAAGAGGCTGGAGGCTCACTAACAATTCCACCGTCATTATCCTCTTTTTATAATAATCCACAGTTTCTATTTCGTTCTTTAAAAGAACATTTTGCAACGTCGGTATATATCTGTCGACGTATAGATTAATTTGAAAAATCAATCTTATTTCTTAAAAATAATCAAGTATTTTCAAGTTCTCGTCTTACTTATCGGCGATCGATGGCCAGCGAAGCATCAGTTTAAGCGCGCATTCTTTAAAGAGCACTTCCAAATTCGGATGTATGAAACTCTGACTTAGCAGCAAATCCAATAATAAATCGGTCATTTTATCCACCTGAGAACAAACAAATCAAAATAAGAAACATTTGCATTTCGAGAAATATGCATAGATACATGTGTAATCTTTCTACTATTAATTACCGATAGTAAATGATAAGGGTAGACAGCTTCGCTGTTACTGGCGATAGCAATTATGAGCTCACATGCACGTATAGAAACGCGCGTATACTGTGCATTATTTGAAATCAACGTAAACCTAGCAATAGACATCAATTTATCTATGACTCCCTCGTCACCTAAATGCACATTGGTAGCACAATCATTCAGCAAAACCTAGAAATATAAACAATACTGTATTTATCTAATTATAACAATATTAAAAAAACAATTTTTTTTATATACCTGAAAAGTTTTCTGTGAGCCATTGAACAAAGTTTTCAGTGCACGTTTGGCATAATTGAAACGTGCTTCTGATAGCTTTTTGTCACATATTTCATTATCTATAAAAGAAAAAAATATATATATTTCATTGTGGAAAGCATAAATTAAAAAGTAGAAAATGACAGAAGACTGCAAAGATAATGTAACTTTTAAAAAATTTACCTTGCAGAAGTGGCACATTAGATTGGGATAGATTCAATGGATCATTTATTTGATGAGTAAGATTAATGATGGATTCATTAGGCACATACACCTTGGCTTCTGCGTGATATTCTGGCATGGATTCTGGTGCACCGAGAATAGGGTCTGCGTCACACAAGTTGGTGATCACCGCATTCACATCCATAGATGTTAAACGTTTTCTTTTACTGTGTCTCAGTCTTGTAACACATTTCTAAAATTCCAGGATAAATAACATTATAATTACAACATTATTAAACACCAAATAATTACAATAATGTGTGTTTAATATATTAAATATATAAGTAGAAATGTATTATCTGCTTACATGTAGAACTTCTCTCAAGCGATAGGAAGCATCTTCAGCTAATCTCTTTATCAGGGGATCTGGTAATGGATGCATCCCCAATTCCTCACCGATGGTGGAGATCCATTCGGTACTGAGCATGGCATATCTCCTTGAATTATTATCATTTGCAATGCTACTGGTGCCTGCATCTTTACTGTTGTTGTTGACAAAAGAATTACTGTATCCCATGGGGGTTTGATTTGCCAACATCTCTTTCATGATCTAAACCTTCTTGATGCCGATATAATAAACTGGATGCCGCGTAAAGTTTACCATGTACAAACACGTCGACGAAAACCTTTGGCATCGGCTGTTAATCAAAAAATGGAGTAATGTTTATAAATTATGTCAACTGTGAATGCGCAACATAAATTATACACTGTGTACACGCGACGTCATATTTTCATATATGAATAAAATTACCTCAGATTAGTGCAGTTTATAATGTCAATAATGACATTGATCAAATAAATTGTATGATCGCCAAATGCCTGTCTAAAGAGGAGACCGTCATTTTTGCCTCTTACCGACACACTTTGCCCCTGGTTCGAGTCCAGGCTAATAAAATCCTTTAATTTTACCAAAAAACTTTGCCTCTAGTGCGAGTTCAAGCTAAAATCCTTTGATTATACGTGTAAAAGATTTTAGCCTAAACTCGCACCAGAGGCAAAGTTTTTTGGTAAAATTAAAGGATTTAAATATATCATTCCTATTTTAAAGGATTTTATTAGCCTGGACTCGAACCAAGGGCAAAATGTGTCGGTAAGGGACAAAAATGATGGTCTCTTCTTTAGACAGGCTTTTGGCGATCTGTCTATTAATCTGTGCCTGTATTATACCTACTCTTTGCCTCAGGCAAGTTCGACGACACACGTGCACGGCTACCTGACATCCTTTTATATTAATTTTTCAACGAAAATGAATGTTATATTTTGTACCACGTGGGTGAAAAGAGGTGTCGCCGCAGCTGTTCCTGAGAAGGTTAATATACTCCATATTTTTTGTAGATTCTACATCAATATTCACTGTAAAAATGTGATATATTTTGCGCAATTATTTATAGGTCGAATTGAAACCTGAAGAGCTCGAAGAGATTATAAAAGAGACACAATCCGCTTTAGAGTATGTAATAAAATAAATCAATATATCTGACGTATATATATATTTATATGTATATTATATTTATTTATAATATTTTTTTAGAGATGAAGAGTCTGATGAAGAGGCAGCTGGCCCCTCGCAATCGAATACGAAAAAAAGTGCAAACGAATCTCCCACAACTGGCGATGAATACAACTTTCAAGACTACGATGACGAATGTAAGAGAAAAAGAAAATTACTAAAAATTAAAGGATCATCTAATGGATAACAATGTTTATTTAATTATTTATTTGGTTTTGCAGCTGGCAATATGTATTGCAACATTACTTCTCTAGCTAGCTTTGATGTTGATGGTGAAGATAATTTTATAACAAATGATGATGTAGATTCAGAAAATGAGGATGACATTATTAAAGCTGATGATAATCTGGTACTGATTGGCCATGTTGAAGGAGATGCTAGCATCTTGGAAGTATTTGGTTTGTATAAAATAATATCAAATATGTTGAAGTTGAATAATTTTATATAAATTTGTCAATTTATTACAATTTATGATTGCAGTATATAATGAAAGAGAAGATTCTTTTTATTGCCATCATGATATATTATTATCTTCGTTTCCATTGTGTATAGAATGGCTTAATTATGACTCTGCAGATCCAAAACCAGGTGAGTAGTAACTATAATAATTTAGTTTAATATATATTAGAAATATGAGAAACTTAGATTATTATTTATTAATTTTTAATAAAAAATATATTTATAAATTATATATATTATAAATATTTATCTTTTATAGGCAATTTATGTGCAATTGGCAACATGAGTCCCATAATCGAGATTTGGGACTTGGATTTGATAGATTGTTTAGAGCCAGCCTATAGATTAGGTTGCAAACCAAATAAAAAGAAAAGGCAGAAGCGTGTAGGCCACAGAGATGCAGTTCTAGACATAGCATGGAACCAGAATTATATGTCAGTTTTTAATTTTCAACAAATACATTTAAATATTTAGGTTTATAATTATTGACAAATGTCTTGTTTCAGGCATGTGCTTGCTAGTGGTTCGGTCGATAAAACAGTTCTTTTGTGGGACTTGGATAATTGTAAGCCGGTGACTAAACTAGATTCATTTAATGAGAAAATACAAGCATTAAAGTGGCATCCACAGGAAACCCATCAATTATTGACAGGATGTGCTGACAAGTATGTTTAAATATTATTAGAAATATTTGTCTATATAAAGCTACATGTAATTTTCTTTTAGATTCATAAGATTATTCGATTGCAAGGAACAAGCACTTGCACGAAGTTGGGAAGTATCGGGAGAAGTGGAGAGGGTATTGTGGAATCATTATGACCCAAATTATTGCATTGTACGTCTCATACATATCTTCAATATCAATTTTCCTCACATTTATAATAATTCTATTTGTTTGCAGGCCAGCACAGATAATGGTTACATAGAATACTTTGATGTTAGAGGAGACAAGCCATTATGGCAAATCAAGGCTCATGAAAAAGAAGTTACAGGTAAAATACTTTTTATTTTAAAAATAAATAAATTTGCCTTATATATATATATATATATATATATATATATATATATATAGTGTATATATGTATGTATTTTATATAAGTATATAAATTCTAATATTTTATCTGTTTAATATTCTTTCTAGGTCTTTCTCTTAGCGCATCGTGCCAAGGTCTATTAGTATCTTGTTCAAATGACGGTGTAATGAAAGTATGGGACATTCTCGATCAAAAAAGTCCTGTCCTCGTATGGGAACAATCGAGTAATTTAGGTGCTATTCAGTGTCTCGCTGCAAATCCGGATAACGGATTTATATTTATCGCTGGCGGGGATAATAAAGCACACAATCTTCGAGTGCTAGATTTCAGGGAGATTCCTACATGTATGTACAGATATTTTTGGATTTTTAGTATTATTGTTGACTTTTGCATTGATCAATATGTTGATTAACAGTGCGAGAGAGATTCATGGATGCAGAACGTGTCGCGTCGAATAATTCATTAATAATAAAACAGGAGAGGGTAATAAAACAGGAGATGATGGACGTCACTGATAACATGGAAGATATGGAAATTGAAAATCTGGGCTCATTAAGTATGCAAATTAAAAAAGAGAAAAAGGAAACTTAGAATATGTTTTTATGGCACATTAACATTTGTACATACACCTACAGTATGTATTTGATAAGGTAAAAGCTAATCATTAAAATGTGCTTTCTCAAAACATGTGATTTATTATATTATTTTTCCGTTAACAATATAATGTTAATCCGACGATTATTTTTCAAGAACACATTACATCTTGTACAATTTAATATTTTGTCGAAAATGAGAGTATTTGATTCAACATTGATCAAATTTTAATATGAATAATCGATGTAACATTATAGAGAACTCGCGTGTTTATTTAAAAAATTCTGTTTAATGAAATGAGGGGGAAGAGACTTAATTTACAGTGTCATATATATTACTGTACGAACAAAAATATTTATTTAATCTCTTGAAGGAACTACAAGAGATTTTGAAAGATGCATTTAAAAATATATAGAATGACAAAATTTAGTACAAATTTGAAAACACTCTACTTTGAATTTTGTTTTATTTTGGATATAAAATAAATTTGCATTATATGAAATCAAACAGTTATATGTATAAGATGGAACCTGTATAACATACGATTCCATAAATTCCTAATATCTGCTGCATTTTTCTCCTTGTCGAAAAGATCAGATTTTTATTGTAGTTATCTTATAGTTATCCAATTATTTAATAATTAATAGATTTGTTTAAAAAGCTACAAATTCTTATGCAAGGCAACTTGTTTAATTAAGAATTTAAAATAAATTAGGGGAAGGAGAGTAAAAGAACAATTGTAAGATTTCTTTTTACAATGCGTCTTTAGGTGATATTATTCGTTACTCGAGTATACACAATTTTCGGATTTGTCTATTTGTCTTAATATCTTATCCGATATTGACAAAGTTTTATATATACTTTCATTTCTTTATGCAGAATCGTATTACAATGATCACGGTATAATTATTGGGCGTAATATTAACAATTTCTTCTTACACAACTCTTCCCTTTCTCTATTTTATGTTTACGTTTGGACTGTGAACTTTTTCCATGTGGTCCTTGCAACTGCAATTTAATTTTGAATAATTGTAATAAGAGCTCATTGTTGCGAACAATTTCTCTTTCGGGCAGTTACACAAATATGATAATGATGTTCAAAGCTCTTTTTTTTCTATCTGTGTATATATATATATATATCCACATTTCCAAATAGATACAAGTTTTTAATTTACAATTTTAAATCGTTTATTCGCTAGAAATAAGATGTTATTTAACATGATTTTTATCAGGAAGCGTCGTTTTTTTAGATATTCAGTACGATATATATTACATTGCTGAAAATTGATATTAAATCTGTACATTTTTAGAAACATCAAAAGTTTTAAGACATAATCAGTTAAAATCAACTGCGCGAAATGAAAAACGTAATAAATAAATCAAGAAAATGGATATATACTTCAAAAATTTTATCTTATTGAGAAACAGGATAAAAGATGTATATATGCATACCAATTAACATTGGTAATTATTGTAAGCAAAATCAATACACAGTCATCGAATGTATTATTAGGTTTTGTTAACAGAAAATTAAATTTCGGACATAACACGACATGCTTTCTGGCAGTGGTCTCGCAAAAATTCAATGACAGTCGAGAACATTATTATGTCAACAATGGCTCGTTAAATTCTATTTCTCACCAGCAATGTCGCGTCAGATATTTACAATTTGCTTTCTCTTTCCTCTTTACATTTATAAATCTAAAATATGTCACATTGGTAGACATTTTAAATAAGTTGAATAAATATTAAGCGGAATAAAGGATACCGATGTAAAGTAAAGCGTTCTTAAGTACAATTTTTTCGCTAACGACGCGAATTATTCAATCTATTCACTTCGCGCAAACAATCAAATCCGGGTGGTATATAGTTGCATATATTCTCGTGTTTTTTTTCATCGTTATAAACGGTGATGATACAAATTAATATGTAGTCAATATTTCCCATTGGTAGCATAAAATGTCTGACCTCATTGACCTTCACCAGATAATCTGACAACGCATAGACAAACTGGGCGAGAAGTGAGAGTCAACGATGGTCGCTCTTGGTCTAGAGGACGATGACGGTTGACCACAAAAGATTGATAATACATACGTCGTACAATATATTAATTAGAATAAATTCGTACACACATATGTAACATTAGCACATTGAACTAGGCGTCGGTTCCTACATCGAGGCTTCTCGAGTCCTGATTGGAATCGTGTTGGCTTCCGCCTTCGGAGCTCGCGTTGCTCGATTGGTCTGAGCCCTTCTTCACTTTGGGCTTGTACTCCGTGATAGTGACGGTGACATTATTGACTGTCACTTCGTTCGTTTGCGCGGTACTACGATCGATATTTTTTAGACGCGGCGGATGCCTATTTTTGCGCCTTGGTTTGTCCAGTTTGCGTTCCTTCTCCTTGACGCCGCTGGTCGTGCTACCACCACCACCACCACCACCGCCGCCACCACCACCGCCGCCGCCGCCGCCGCCGCCACCACCACCACCGCCACCACCACCACCACCTCCACCGGTTCCTTCTTTCTTGCCTGGTTTTAAATGTGGCACAAATTGTTGCTGCGCAACCTGCGTAATGTAGAATTAGCAGCATTACAAATTTATATTTAAAATATATTTGTAATATATATAAAAAATATAATTGTAGATATATAATAACACAATATTTTTTATATTCTAGATACAAATGCATCAATAGATTACATACATATTAATGTGTAATATATTAATGTTGGAAAATGTTATAGACTGACCTGTTGAGCTACCAATTGGGGGTTTATGCGGGGTTTCCGCGTAGAGGTTCCTTTACGGACGTCACACATGAGGCACTTAAATGCTTCCGCTGTATTCCTAAAAGTGCAGACACTGCAGTCCCAATAATTTTCTTCCAGAACCTTCGCCTGACGTTTTCCGCTTCCCGAATGGTTCATTGTTCGTTGCAGTCAATTGTAGAACGCTGTACCTTCTCAAAAGAAAGTTTCCCCTCTTTTGAGGCACCTTCGGCCTCATTAAATTTTGCAGTTTTATGAACACTGAATATTTTTCGACAGAGCGATACTAAGGATATGCAATAAAAGCGCTAGACAAATATCTAAGACAGTGTTCCGTACATCAACTAAGCGAGATACACAACAGTCTGTTATACTCGATTGCTCTGTATTGACCACCTATATCTCTACGTTGTATCACTCTGACATTACACATTTTCTTCCAGTGTATCTGTAACAGAAAAATTTCATTGCGTAATGTGGAATTAGCAGCATTACAAATTTATATTTAAAATATATTTGTAATAATATATATATATATATATATATATATATATATAAAATTGTAGATATATAATAAACACAATAATTTTTATATTCTAGATTTGTTGTATATTCAACAAGAATGTTCTTATATAAAGGCATCAGCATTTTGATCTTATACATTCAGATTTGATTGTTCAGTTGAATTCATGACAGCCTGAAGAAATAGAATCAATAAATACCTTGAAGCCATCTCTCCCACTCAAGAAACAACGGATCTTTCTCAATATTTATTTAACTAACAAACTGATAAAAAGCAATTAAATTTCGTTTAAGTTCCCACGAAAACTACGGGAAGTAAATTCAACGATTCCTTCCACGAGGGGTCACGATTTTAACAATTGAACAATCGACGCGCCATTACCTTTATTTATCAATACGGAATTGACCTCATCTGTTTAGGGCGACAACTCACATTATTTACACTTAACGCGTTCACTCGTGATTATCAATATTTTTTCTTTTTTTGCTCCCAAATTGTGTCGCTCGATTTTTACACTTTATTCACGTATATATTGTCCCGATAGAATCCGATATATACAATGACGTACCAGAGCGGAGTCAGCGCGTGTCCGGATGTCAAATTCTCTGGAAACTCTCCCGGTAGAAGATCCTCTCCAAGAAGAAGACTTTCCGGCACTCTCCCTGAACGACGCTCGTTCCCTCGTGTCCCAGTGCGGCAACTTCCAAAGCGGTTCACGCCGGTGACGCGGTTACGGGACGACGCATCTTCTCGTCAGGGAAACAGATGGACTCGGTCGGCGCATCGTCGCGCGTACATACGTGCACGTGAGTGAATATATGTGTGCGTATGTGTATGTATTTACACGACAAGCGTCCGGAGTATCCGTTCGCGCATTCCAGCGTCGATCGACGACGACGACGACGACGACGAAGACGAAGTGGAAGAATCGCGGCCGCGTCGAGAGAGAGAGAAAGAGAGGGAAAAAGAGAAAGAGAGAAGCGCGCGTGCGCAAGAGAGAGAGAGAAGACGAACTCGTTTGACGTTTGACGTTTCGCGCTGTCACCTGTCACCTGTCACTCGCTGCCAGCCGAGGTCGCCGACGACCCTGGCGAGCGACCGGGCGTACTCAAAGAAGCGCGTACTCCCGGACGACTGAGAGGGTGTTGGGGGGGGGGGGAGGAGGAGGATATTGACAAACAATCTGCGGGGGGGCGGCGACTCCGTCGACGGCGGCGCCGCGATCCGCTTCCGCTCGTTCCCCCGCGTTTCTGGAACGCGGAACAAAGTTCGTTCCTCTCTTCCGGCAACTCTAGCCTTTCTTTACCCCTCGCAGGTACGTATAATATGATTAGATTAAAATCATTTTTTTCTTTCTTTTTTCCCCCTTTTATTTAAACAGCGATACTCGACGAGGATGAATAATTTATGTTTCTTATCTTTTTGGGGTTTTTATTTGGAGGGAGATAAGAAGAGTTGACAGTTTTCTCAAAAATATATTTTTATTTTAGCTCTCTCTTTTTTATGTAATTATCAATTTTATATATATGTAACATATAATATTTTTTCTCTCTTATCTCGGTTTTTCATAGACGTCTTTTTCACGGATTACGCTATATATTGTTTACATTTTACATTAATGCGTGAATGTGTATATATGTATGTGTAATATATACGTATGTATATGTATATATATCGCGATCGAGATTCGAGATGTTTATATTCGAGATTTTCATCCGCCCTTGGCGCCGACTTCTGACAGCGCCAACTTCACATTACTCCGATAATCCGCTCGCAGTACGGGCGTTTCTCTTTTTTTCCTCTCTCTTTCTCACACACAGTGGAAATCTCGATAAGAAGAACTCGGATAGTTTTCTTCCACCGATCTGTTTAAATGTGATCACGAGAGGGAAAGTTTCGCTGCTTTCTCCGTATATTTGAGCGCGAGCACGAATTGCTCGACATGGTGAGTGAAATATACGAAGAAACGTTTGACATTTGCACGCTTAGGTTAGCAGGTATAAATAAAGGAACGCGATATCATATATGTGATTATCCGAAATTACATAGTAGTATGATTTTTCCTCTACTTATACAGTTGCGATTTTTATCTCCGAAAAAAATATTTTTTTTTATTAAATCGAGTCTGATATTAATCAGTACACATATATTGTACTTGTATAGATATAGTTTGTATTGTATTTAATATTTGGAAAGTTTTTTAGATTTTTTATTGTAATAAAAACAGAAGCGAATATTTTTTGATCGATTATTTTATTGTGACAGGATCCGTCAGATGGTATAGACAAATCATGGGATCACCCCTGGACTACGGAAGAGATGAGAAAGAGGAGGAGGGAGTGGAGTCTGGCAGGTGACGTTGGACTTCTCAAGCATCTTCAACAATTTTCTGAGGTATAGTTTACTTCACGATATTTATATTCGACTAATGCACTTACGTTTTTTATATTTTGTTCAAAATTCTAGAATCTGATGTCTAGAGCGAACAAAACTCAAGCTGCTTTAGACACATTAACGACACAATTAAAGGAGACAGGAATATTAGTGGATAATATTACTAATACATCCCTGGCTTTAGCCAATACTCAATTTATTGAAAGTCGTGTTCAAGAAGATGACATAGAAATTAAGGAAAATTCTGAGAAACAAGAAGTAAGTATTTGTGTATTTTAAGGAATTAATATCTATTAATACATTTTTATGATGTACATAATGTACTCTATGATAAATATATATATACTATTCTTTGATAAAAATATTTTGTGATAAAATTCATCGTTTTTAATATAACCAAATAAAATAAATTGTTTTTATTTTTCATCAGAATGCAAAGACTCAAGATTTAGTACCAGAGAATCTCCTAGCCAGTATAAGCGAGAGTGTTAAACAAGGCTTAAACATAATGGATGAAAAGTACAAAGTAATGGATGTAGCTTGTAGCGACAGCGAAGAGGAAGATGAAGGTGGCGCAGTAGTATTCAGGTACATCAGTGTAATTATTTTTATTGCTATATATGAAATTTCTTTCATTCTAAAATATCATCAATTTATAGCGTCATTGTTGGGCCTAATGATCCTTATCAAGATCGGCCCCTGCCATACATTATTGGTTCCGACAAATGGACGGCGTCAAATAAAATAGGTCTGGAGAGCAGCAGCAGCGAATCCGAACAAGCCGACGAAGAAAGGGAAGACTCGGAAAGCGAGAAAGAGGATGCGAGTGTACAAAAGATGTTTAACAGTCGACATAATCCGGATATAAATATAGCGAGATTATCATCGTCCTCTAGCGATTCGGACAACTATAATGATTCAAATAATGTACCTTACATGAATAATAAGGCGGATACGATTTCTCAGAATAATATAAATTCCGCTTCGGAATCTGTTACACCTAACAATGTATCAAAGGTAATTGATTATAAATTTCTTTACGATATTTTTATCTTTCTAAAACTTTTTAAACGAATTTATATATTGTTTCCTATTACAGACGTCGAGCGAAACGGAGCCCAATTTCGCAGAAGAGTTAGCCAAACGATTAGGCACCGTTCGCCAAACGCAGAAACCTATCGTTGTAGATGATTCCAGTGAATCGTCGATCAATCGATATAAAGGTATATACATTTAACTAATCTTTGTTACAAAAATACAAATTATAATTAAAATATTTACTAAATTTACCAATAATCTCTTCATTAGATGATTTATTCACATCGGAGAAGGATGAAGATGTATTTAACGATAGTTCAGATAATTTATTCAGCGACAAGAAGGGTCTTTTCGATGATGAAGTGTCCGCAAACCTGTGGAAAGAGAAATCACTCAAATCTTACAAGAGTAACAATATTATACCACCCAGTATCGACGTACCACCACCGATTAATATAATTTGTAAGTATTATTTTGTGTATTATTCTTTATTTTTATAAAATTCTTGTAATAGATCTTATTATTTTTAATTCGATCGTGTTTTCAGCAACGAAACCAAAATCGTCGATCGACGATCTATTTGCCGATGCGGATTCAGACGAAGACTCGGATATCTTCTCATCGGGGAACATCGTCAAGAAACGCACGAAAGAACCCATCATCGACGATAATAATCGTCCCGCACCGAAAGAATTTTTGAACGTCGTAGGTGCTTCCGGTAATATCGCCACCAGTACACCGGAATCCAATGTCAACGTCCCGAATCTGTTCAACGATGATGAAAACGACGATGCGAATTTATTCGGAAATCCCAAGAAGCAATCTTATAAAGCTGCAGTTACGCCATCCTCCACAAATACAACTCAACAGGAGCCGAATAAAAAGGTAAACTGCCAGCGCAATTTATACATACCTTGTTTTGATAATACTGGTATTTGATCATAAACTTTCTAATAATTTAATTACTTTTATTTAATTTTAATACTTACACATTACTATTTTTTATTTTTATCTTAGTATTGTTAGTTTTATCTTAATATTATCTTATATTATTTTACCTTAATGTTATCTTAATATTATTAATATTTTTAATTATTAATTAATTATTAATTTAAAAAATTTTAAAAATTCTAATTACATATCAAAATAATTTCTATACACACACTTTGACTGATAAAGGCTAAAATCATTTGCAGAAATTGGCGGGAAGGGTGTCGGTACTGGGCAGCGTTCCAGCATCGGACATCGAGGGCAAATTGTCGAGTCGGATAATGCAACGACGACAGGAATCATCCGAGTCGTCGTCCGATAGCGACTCGCCAGGAAATTCTGATAACGCGACAAGGAGCAGCGCTGAGAGAGGCACTTCGAACGATACTACTTCGTTTGTAAGCCACAGTTTGCAGATCACACCGGCCACTAATTCAACAGTGAACGTATCTGCGATCGGAAACACCAACAGCAGCGGGATAGCATCGTCTAGCATCGAGAACCTGAATGGATCCAGTTTGTGGTAAGTCGTCTCATTTTTTTTCCTTTTCCATTTATGATAGCGCAATCTTTCTAGCGTTTCATAAACATCTTTTAATTGAATATTTGACACGACGAACATTTGACAGCTGACAGATGTCAATGAACAGCTGATTACTTGTCAAAAATATATCACATATCTTAAAGTATTTACTATTGCGTTAAACTTTACTAAGTTAAATTGTAAAATATAAAAATTTTATATCAAAATTAGATATAAAATATCACCGATTGCGCGCATTTACTCGCGTCAAATGTTGAACTAAACGAATCTCTGAGAGTTTCACGTTACATTCCACGGATGGAAGACATATCTAACGACACGTGATACTGCAACGTTTGTCGAGGTCAGCGTTTAAAACAAAGAGATCGCGTTTTATTGCGTGTGTTCACGGACATCTAATATGCATCCAGAATGCAGAATGAGAATCAGAGGTCAGAGTTGTATACCTGAAGCCGCTCGAATCCCCAGAGTTATTTATTCCGAGATATCGCATATCTAGCTACCGTAAATCGGAACATGCCTATTTTTTCCCTTCTCTCTCTCCAGGATTCGCACGCGTGCCAAGTACTTTATAGTGTCATTGAATCGATGACCCAAACGTTAGTCACTCGCCTTACGTTACGTTCTATTACGCGCGCTACCGCTCGGCGAGTAAATAAATACCGCTTCGAGTCGTCCAAGGCGAGCTTCTTCAGTATATGTGCGTCGCCTGTCGCCAGTTGTTGTTGACTCTCTCTCCTTTGGTCATCTGCTCTCGAGAAACGACGACGACGACCGAGAGAAAAATTTGTATCCCCAAGTGATCCTCGGTCCGACGTAATTTTGACAAAGAAAACAGTCGGCTTTTTTGCGAAACATATCCGTCTGTGAATTATTGCTCGAGAAACCGCTGTCCGTCGACTCCGAAAAAATGGAAGGCAAGTAAAGAAGCTGTAAATATGACGTAAAACTTACCTGAATTGGACCTATTTTTTTATTTGCGAAGTAAATATCGTCGCTTTCTTTTCGAGGCAAGAATTTTTATTTTATTTTATTTTTTTTATTTATATAAATGATACAAAAATCGTACTCTCTGATTGATTTAAATTAGAGAAATTTTTTATTTAAATTATAAAATAAATATTGAAGCAATATTTTTTCTTTGGAAACACTAGAGCTATACTTGCTAATTTCGCGAAAATTCAGCGAAATTATTAAGATTTATGCTGTTTCGGAAGTGCTGTTTCTTCATTTAATTTTGCGAAATTTACAGAAGAGAGGAGAGTTTTTGCGCTTCTCGTCGCACGAATTGCATACAAAGAATCGTGAAATGCGACGGTGATGCGAACTAAAAATAGTATGAGCGACGAGATGAGGCAGACCAGTATGCTAGTAGATAAATTCGGTTATTGTGGACGCGAGACATCTCGATTTCTATTCAGTATTTTGATAAATAACAGACAAGAAGAAACGGTGATCTTGCGCCGTCTCATTAAATTCAGAGAACGATATTTTTATTTCACGGAAATACTCTTATCAATATAGAAATATCCCATCAGAAATTTTTTAGATCTCTTATTCCTTACAAATAGGTCCTTCGCAACACTCTGGATAAGGCTTACTCAAATCCGTCTCGCGATAACCGATTTGCTTTCCCTCCTGACATCGGTATAAAGCACATCTGGAAGGAAATAAAGAAAAAAATAATTGAATCTGTGAAATTATAGTATAAAATATTTATTTAAAAAATTACTTATTAGGGATATCTAAAATATTTAGAATATTGTCTTATCGCGGTATGACTAAAGTAAGCCATGGTCTCTTTTTGGTTTTCTCGGCGAATAAATCGTGTTCCAGAAATCATGTACTTTCTCTGCGTCGCAAATAGAGTGGAAGTTACACTATGTGAAACTATAAATAGTTCTTTCTTGTAACCGATTTTGTGAATTCGAGAGCTTTGACAAATTAATCATTCAACGTTACATATACTTATTCCTCAATCTAAATCTCAACAGACTCCTCTCGAATGATTTTTAATTAATTTGAATGATCAGCCGCGTATACTAAAAAAAATTTATTTTTGAACAAATATTTATTTTAGTACTGCCTAATAAATCATTTATATGAAACTAATAATACTGATTTGATGTGAAAAATATTTATTTGATATAAGAAGGTTTTTTTCAAAACAGATAATTATTTATTTGTTTCAAATAGATAATTTATTAAGCAGTATTGAAATAAATACTTATTTATTAATTTAATAATTTTTCCAGTGTATCAATTATCATTTTGAGCATTTTTTATCAATTGCAGCCAATGGTACGGATAACTGATTATTAAAAAAATTCGTTAAGATATGTCATCACCAGCTTTTTTGAATAGAGATTTAAATGAGAATTCGAAAGATATCGTGTATTAAAAAATGCAAATTTTATTTTATTTTATTTTTAGAATACACGAAATCTCGTGTCTATAGTTGCATGGTAGACATAGAGGATATTTTTTAAGCAGGACTAATTTAGGAAATAAAAAACTCACCCCAACATTGATATTGAACCATCCGCGTGACAAGTGACTCGTAAGCACTTGCGAATGTGTTCACCCACTGTTAAAGTTTCTTCTTCGTACGGGCAGCCATCTACGTAATAAAATCGTATATTGTTTCACAGAGGTTCCATTCATTAGTCTTAACATTAACTCTAGTCTTCGAAATAATATTAATTGTTTTAGCTTACATCACAGACATAGCGTTTTCAGAGAGGGACAAGAGAGAGCATTTGTTCCCTCTTGGAATCAGTAAAAAAATTAACCATTTACTCTCCTTTCGAATAAACACTGGAATTTATTTGCAATTTTATTTAATAGCAAAATATTAAAATAACAAAAACAGAAAATTTAAAAGAACTAAGAAAGAATAAAAATAAAAACCAAATAATTAATTATGCTCCCTCGTGGAAAAAATTCTGCGGACGATCTGTCAAATAGGGACGTCCTCGTATTGACATTTAAAAAGCACGAACGCTCACTTCCAACATCTCATCTTAAGTTAAACGCAACTAACTCTGTTTACAATTTTACATCTGCATCTCATTTCGGCAATATATACTCTCTCAAGTTACAATCTTACCTGACACTTGCGCTGCGTGCGCGAACACGCATAGCATCATCAGCAACAGGACCAAACAACCCTTCATCATCTTCTTGCTTGCTCTAGAGAAAAACACCAAGAAGTGGAGGCGACAATCAGACTACTGAATACTCAAGCTCTTATATATCGTTCCTCCCACCTTTCATATTCAGTGTTGTGTGACCTCTAACATCTTCCTCATCCCATCTGGCTGATTATATAATTTTGAGAGAAGATGGCAACAGGATTAAAATAAAATAATAAGAGGAAAAAGTAGGTGTGAAAAAATCAGAATGAGTTAGGCCGGTTCTTAATCAACGATGACGTACTCGGGTAACTATTCACAGTTTTATTCTTGTCATCTATCACGCTTTGTTCCAGACGGTTATTTGAATTATATAGGAGGATTCTATATACAGGAGGATTCTTTTTTTGGTAATTGGATGCACAATTTTACGAATATTCGGCTTGACTCAAAATTAGACGTATAATTAAATGTGAAAAGGCAAGATTTCCTCGTTGACCTTTCTCTCTTTCTTTTTCGAATGGAAATTTAATATCTCGCAGAGAGATAATGACTGAAATTTTATATGTTGTATCTTATCTTTATAACAACAGGCATAATTTTATATTTATAAGATGATTTTCAGAGAAAATTTATTAACGTTAATAATATTTACGTTATTGCATCCTCATATTTTTAATTTTTTCGAAAGAGTGACGCGAGAAGTCGAAATGGTTTATAGATATAACAAAAGAGTTTGCTTCAAAAAATAGAGCTGAATTCTTGCGCGATAAAAAAAACCATTCATCGTATAAAGGCACTCCATCAATTAATGTATATTTTGCACGTTATTCTTAATCAAATAGTGTCTAGGTCATGGGTCGTCATTTATCACGACGCTCGACTATCGTCAGAATTTAGACTAAGTTTTGAACGAAGACAAAAAAGTTTGTTGACGTGAATATTTTTATAACACTTTATCAATATGGCAAGAGATTTGATTGCAGGCATCGCGTTAATTTTTATAACGTCTTAAATATACATGGATAGAATTTTCTCTTAGAAATTAAATCGTGGTAATCGTGAGACAAAATGGTAATGGAAGAATTTCATTAGTTTCTGTCATTAATATTTACCACAATCAAAAATATTAATATGTACTTAATAAAATTTATTGTCCCACGATTATTATGATTTTCAGGGTAATTTCTAAGAGAAAATATTTTAATCTAAAATATAAATTCATTAATAGATTTAAACTGAAATAAATAGTTTTTCGAAACGAAATTTTCATTATGTTATGACAATCGGGAATTAAAATTATATAAATAATGGAAATTCAAGAATTAAAATTATGTACCTAATGGAAATTCAGGATTTAAAATTTTGTACATTGGAAATTCGGCGAATTGAAGGTATGCATTTAATTTTAATTAGAGCGATATTTTTATTTTACGAAAATATATTCCTAATATATAGAAATATCCTATTAGAGTTTTTTAAAGTCTCTTATTCCTTACAAATCGGTCTTGCACAGCATTCTGGATAAGGCTTACTGAAATTCGTCTCGTGATAACCGATCAATCTCTTCTCTGGACAGAAATTTAAAGGACATCTGGAAAAAATCAAGAAAAAAATAATTGAATATCTACGAAATCAGAAAATAAAATATTTATTAAAAAATTACTTATTAAATAGAGACATCTGAAATATTCAGAATATTGTCTTATCGCCGTATAAAGTAAGCCATGGTCTCTTTTTGGTTTTCTTGGCGAATAAATCGTGCTCCACAAATCGTACTTTCTCTGCGTCGCAAATAGAGTGGAAGTTACACTATGTGAAACTACAAATATTTCTTTCTTGTAACCGATTTTGCGAATTCGAAAGCTTTGACAAATTAATCATTCAACAAGTGAAACACGACGAGAAGATGTTATTTCTCGGTCAAAAATCTCAAATAGATCCTCCTCTCGATTGATTCTTATAATTAATTTAGATGATTAGTCGTGTATCTTCAATATTATCTTTAATATTTCTCACATTTTTCGATCAATTACATTGCAGGCAAAGGTCTATGCGGATAACCGGTTATCAAAAAAGCTCTTTACGTAATCACTTTTCATGAATGAAGAATAATCGAGAGATCGCAAGAAGAGATCGCGTATTGAGAAAAGTGCGAATTTTATTTTACTTCATCGTCGAAATACACGAAATATTCTTGTATCTAGCTGTACGATGAATATAGAGGATATTTTTAAGCAGGATTAATTTAGGAGATGAAACTTGGACTTACTCGAGTATTGTTATGTCACCCTCTGCGTAACAAGTGATTCGTAAGCATCCGCGAGTGTGTTGACCCACACTCAGAGTTTCTCCTTCGTACAAGCAGCTGCCTACATAAATAAAATCGTTTCACAGAGTGCTTTCATTCATTCGTTAACCCTAATATTGACCCCTCGTCTTCGAAATAATTTTGAGAAATAATATTTAGCTCGCGTCATAGATGATCTGTCAAATAGAACGCGAGGGATCCTCGTGTTGACATTTGAAAGACCAGAGTTCCAACGTTATCGTCCACGAGATAAACGTTTAAGATAAACCCTAACTCTGTTTACAATTTCGTAGCATACATCTGCATCTCTTCATCTCGTCAATATATATATATATATTCTCCTACGTTACGCAATTCTTACCTGGCAAGTGTGTAGCGTTCTTCGCGAACACGCATATCGTCATCAGCAACAAGCTCAGACGACCCTTCATCCTCTTCTTCCTTGTTCTGGAGAAGGACAGAAGGAAGTAGAGGCGACAATTGGGCTAAAATACTCGTTCATACTCTTATATATCACTTCTCCCCTCTCTCGTATACGGCGTTATACGACCTTAGCACTTTATAAAAATTTAATTAATATTTTAATACAAAAGAATTACCATTCAGATTTCGTTTATAGTAACAATAATTAGTTTGTAGTTTTAGCAATTAAAAATTGTGAAAAAATTTAAAAAGTGACTCGCACCCGATATTGAGTTATCTAATAAATCCGTTTGCGCACTCTCTCTTAGAATGTTTGTAGTTGTTTGTAATGATTTTCCTTTCGTTTTTAATGTAACTATTGAAAAATTCTAAACATTTGTTTCAATGTCCAATAGCCAAGTTTGTCAATTTTCAAGATATCTCGAATCCATTTGCGCCGTCTTTGTTCGATTTTTATTATATCTTTAAATCTCAATATCACTTATCATATCATTTCACGAGTACTTAGCTTGCCTTGAAAAAGACGTAATAATTAAAAGTGAAAAGGCAAGATTTTTTCTCGTTGACATTTCTCCCTTTTTCCTGCGTGGAAATTTAATCCCTCGCAGAGAGATTTATACAACAGGAGATTTAACGACAGGATTTATATATATTTTTTTAATTATTGTATCTTATTTTTATGATAAAAAAGCGCCAGATCGAGAATTATATCAAGTGCTTAATTGACAAACGGGCATAATTTTATTCATATTTTTATAAGATGATTTTCAATGAAAATCTATTATAATAGTTAATTTATAATGGATTTTTATAATGGTATTAAAAGTAGCTAGAAAATTTTCTGCTACGCTTCAAAATAATTTGGCATTATTAAGAAAATATATTTTTATCCTTATTATCATTATTTATATTTTGTACCTATTTTTTGGCTTTAAGTAAATATAATCTTTTTTAATTTCCTCCTTTTTTTCAGGATGAACTTGCAGCCGGAGATGACCTCGACGAGGCTCAAATCCGAGGAGATCTATCGCGAACGTGTCACCAGCGACAGCCTTTTCGCAGCGCAGACGCTTCATCCCGGCAACCCGGCGAACACCAACAGCAACAACCAGCAGCAACAATCGCGAGACTCCTCTCGACAGGATAGCTCGTTGCCTCAGGACGACGTATTCGAGAACGACGATCTCTTCGGGCCGCCGCCGTTGCCAAGCAAATCAGATACGAGGCGAACCCCGAAGTCAAAGGTCTCCTCGCTCTTTGACGATTCCGATTCCGGCGACGAGCTCTTTTCCGCCGCGAGCTCCGGTTCCAGGTCGCAGAAGAGCACGGAGCACTTCCTCACCTCGGTCTCGTCCAGCGACAGGACCAAGACAGCAACTAGCAGTGGCCTGTTTGAAGACGACGACATATTCGGCGGCAAGGACGCTCCAGACGTCGATATATTTGGCGTGGCATCGAAATCAAAAGAAAATTCGGCTTCGAACAATCTGTTCGATAATAGTGAACAATATTCAGTAACGTCGAAGAGCAATAACGCCGGTAAGTATAGAAAAATTATAGTTTTTAGGATTTGTATTATTGGTTTAGTTAGAAAATTCTTTTTATTAGAGCTTACATTATAATAGTTCCTCGTGGTTTATGTTCTTCTGGATTTTTATAGTAAATTTGTATTATGAACGTACTCACGATTAATATTTTTTAATAAAGGTATAATGAATTTATTATCTTCTTTAAGAATATGATGATTTATGTTGTATGCCAAAAATGTTTCGTTTCCATTTTCATTAAAATTTTTAAGGGAAATTTTTATAATTAGGATTATTATTAAGAAATAATGTATTGATCATCCGTTGAATTGATTTTGACACGATTTTTAATGTTTTTCTTTCTTAATTGTAAATCACTAGATAATTCCCAAAACACGAAGATGGAGTCGAAGAGGATCAGTCTTTTCGACGACGACGACGGCGACGATGGTGACTTGTTCGCCGGCGCGAAGCTAACGAAGCCGAAGAGCGACCGTAAGACTGATGTTCTTTTCGAGGACGAGGATGATTTGTTCGCCTCGAACAAGGCGAGCGATAAGAAACGCTCGCAAGAGAAAGGCGCATCAGTTGAGCCCAAAGCTCGATATCTCCAAAAATGTTTCTACTCTGGAAGCTGAAAAGAAGAGCAAAGACGATTCTTCGGATAATACGGATGGGCTATTTTCAAAAGCGACGAAAACCCGTAGCCTTCTGTTCGAGAACGATGATTACGACGATCTGTTCGGCAAAAAGGATACGGTGCCGCGCGAGGACGATCGATCGAAGCCTGAATTCAAAGAAGAAATCAAGAAAGACCTCGTCGAGAAGGTGCAGGAACTTCCTGAGCAAAATAAAGATTCTTCAAGTTTAAATCGTGACATCAAGACTATTACTACGGAATCTAAAGACGACAAAGCCGCAAAGAGTGATGTAAATGAGGCAAAGAATAAAACGTCGTCTGGTATCGTAACTGATGTCGAAACATCATCCAAGGTTGAAGAAGAGGTCAGGACAAAGAAAAGTTCGCCGCCGAAGACACTGAACATTCGAACGACTTCTTCGCCGCCGTCCGAGGAACAAAATGGTCAACAAGTTCCCCGAAAATGGTGTCTGGTAAAATAAAGAATCTAATGGGGAAGATGGGTGACTTGAAGATACTGTCGCCGATGGATGCACCACCCTTGTGGAGGAAAGCGAGGACAAGGCGGATGAGGATGAAGATATCGTGGATAAAGACAGGGATGGAGATCAAGGCACCGGATATATTTCGCCTCCTAGTGTATCAGGTGATTATTGTTTAACGAGATTTCTTAATATATATTTGTCTTGTATATTTATTAAATTAATTAAAATCCTGAATTTTAAATTAATTTAAGAAATTTTTTTCACAGAAGGTAGCGCGCGCAAAGAATCTTCTTATTCGACAACAATCTCCACCGTCAGCAATGTGGAAGTGTCTATAAACTTTGACGATCTAGCTCAAGTAGAAACTTTATCTACTACGGCATCCAAGGTATTTAATAAATTGAAACATAAACTAATTTATTTATCTTCTTAAATGTACAATACTTCATGAAAGTTAGAATAAAAGAAAGAGAAATAGCTTTTCACCACTTAACAAAATTTAAAGTATATTTTTTTTATATTTTATCTTTAATATTATATTTATATTTATTAGCGGTTTTATTTTGAGTAATTTTTTATTTCCATCGTTATCGCATTAATTTTCTTTTTTAGAGCCGAGTAAGGATTCAAGCAAAACGCCGTCCTCAGAGCCGACATGCCCGGAAGTCTGCACTGCGACACAGTGGCATCGATTTCGACACGGTCGATAGTGCGGACAACGACAACTCCTTGGACGATAGTCACACCAGTACCATCTCGTCTACCAAAGACTCGTCCGCTGCGCCGGCAATCAGTGCAACTGATCGTTTATCTGCCAGTAACGCTCAGCGTTCGACGGTCGATCCTTCTTCAACAGACGACAAGTCCGAGCTGGGTAGCATCAGCAAGGAGAGCTCGATGAGCGTTAACAAGAACACTCTATTGTCGCCGTCCACCGACGAAGAAGATCTGTTTGATGTCCCGCCAGATCTGCCGGAGGATCCGCAGAGGGAGGATACATTGTTCGGTAGGGCGCCGATACTTTCGCCGATTGACGACGGACAATCTGACAGAACACCCGTCGCTGTCAAACCTCTAATAGATACCGTGATTAGAAGGATCGACGATGTTGACGTCGATATGAACGCGGCGAGCAACAAAAGTCTTAAAGATTCTAGCGAATTAGCGCGATCGGATGTCGATACCAAATCGGATACTTTGAAGGACACCAAAAAGAGAGATGATAAAGGTACAATCCACGAAGAGCGAGGTGAAGCGAGTAGAGGGTCCAGTGAAGAGCCAAGCGATCCTCTGCGCGACAGCAGCCATGATCCACTGAAGGATCCTAGTCAATTGTTCGCGTTCGTCACGAAGACACCGTCGCCGGAGAAGAGCAAAGGACTGCTGTTCTCCGAGTCGGACGACAGTCTGTTCTCTAGTGGCGCGGCAAAAAAATCTAGCGAGTCGAGGAAGAAAGAGATCCTGGATCTATTCGCGGAGGACGACGCGGGTGGCGATCTGTTTTCCGCGGCGCCGTTGAAGAAAACACTGAAGAAGCCACTACGGGACACGAAGATCGGTCTCTTCGGCGACGACGATGACGTTCACAACGAGGACGACAGTCTTTTCGGTAATGCGTCCGGCAAAACGAAGCAGGACAGTCAGAAATCAAATCCTGCTCAAGCTGGACGGAAGAAGAATAACCTTTTCGACGACGACGACGACGACGAGTCCAGTCTGTTTGTCGAGTCGTCCGGTCAGTCGCAGAAATCGGACAGCATATCGTTCTCGGAGCCCAAACACGACCTCGTCGATTCCCAAGCTAAGAGTTCGAACTTGAAGAATATCTTCGGTGACGCGGCCTTTCCTCGTGGAGAAAAGATCGACGACGACGACGACGACGATCTTTTCGCCGCAAGAAAAGTTGTTCCTAAGAAAGTCGCCGCGCCGTCTAAGTCTCTGTTTGCGTCAGATGACGAGGACGACGACGACGACGGCCATATCTTCAAAAAACAGTCGTTTACGTCGACAGACTCAAAGATGATTACGACGACCTCAAGTTCAAGACTGACTATGAAGAAGTCGGTCACCAGGGACCTGAAAAAAACGGCTGAAAAGATCGTCGAGGATCCGCTGAGTCTACTCCAAGATGACTAAATTGGTTTCCTCGAGATAAGTACCCGTGAGATTTCCTATATGTTGAGCCACAAAAGTTTATACATCTAGGAAAGTAAAGCTTAATAAAATACGAAACTTGAACAAAGAGCTTGCAAATCTCTTGTTCTCATTAGCATCTTGGAACGCTCTGTATAACTAACTGAATGCAATTAGCCTCTATAATTAATAATGTGATAATTTGATTGATTTGATAAATTCGAAATTAGAAACATATATATAACGTTTAATTATTTTTTTTAAATATTGTGTTTGTTTTAATTCGTGAAATGCATTTTAATACACCAGATAGACTTTTCAAATCATGTAAATCGTATGTTTTATCAAACGTGTGACAAATAATTAAAGAGGATAACTGCTTTGAAGAAATGCACTTAAAAATTAATTCTAAAATGCTATTAGTTATACAGAGTTCCGAGATTAAAAACTAATCAGAACAAGAGATAGCTCTTTGTCCGATTTTATTATTAATCCTTCCTTCAATTAATAAAATGCGCATGCAATTTAATACACCAAATAGACTTTTGTGGCTTAGACATGTACATATACGTATATATATTTTTTTTATTTATATTTTGTTACGTCAAAGTTGTTCTATAATATAAAGAATCCTATATCGATAAAATGGGTAGCGTGCAATTCGCGAGAAATAGAAAATTTTGTGTTTAATCGCTCTCGCTTGTATTTATTATTTCGCTCACCAGATCTGAAATCTCTTTATTTTCTTCTTCTTTTTTTTACATATATATATGTGCCACATTAAAAATCGTCTTATTCGCTTGCGCGACGAAGATTGCAATAAAATGCGCAATTATTTCAATTCTCAACGTTTATTCGATACACAACGAATATATGATTAGTTTACACTCGTATCGTAACTAAGTGAAAGAACGCACCTTATTCGTGCAATAGATGTATATTTTTCTCTCTACCATCGTCCTTCCTCATCCTCATGAATATATTCGCCTCGCGCGCGCTTGTGATTTACGTCATGTATATATCATCTCGATGAAGTCATTAGTACAATAAAATTTATCCAATGACCTCTCGTATAAATCCAGTGATCCTTTTACTCCTAGATAATAATACCGATTCTAAATATCGTGTATAACTCGAAACCTTCTGCAATACAATTTTAAGAAAAATTTATTAAAATAAATGTAAATATAAATTTTACGTAAAAAAAACCTTGGAGATTATTAATGATTTAATTGAAAAACATCAATCACTGTGTATGCGTTGTGTGCGAAACAGAATATTTGTTAAACGTACACGTTTTTGTCCAAAAAGAAACATATTTTATATATATAATATATTTCGAAAGAAAACTTATGTTACGTTTGCTAATGTCATTATACGCTTAAACATCGTCATTAAAGAATTACGCAATTAATATGTGGCGTAATATATTTAATATTTGAGATAAACGAGTGCATTAATACTTCTGAAAGCTCACGTTTCTTCGTTTATCAAGTTCGACATTAAATATAAACTAAACGAAAAGTCACAAACAATATTCCAATACTGATTATACGATTACAAATTATACAAATAATAATTATACATTCGTACGTAATATTTTATCACGCAAAGTTACATTCTGCAAATTAAATCCTAATATGAGAAACTAATATTTATTCTGCAATCGTGACAACTTAAGAGTATCAAAATATCTCTTTCAATTCTGCGCACGTTTGAGAGGACCAACAAACTAAAAGCTATAATTATATATACTTAGAAAATTATATTCCAAGTTAAAAAAAAAATATTCGTAAAAGGAAAGAAGATTGAGAAATTTTTCGCGACTTTGATATTTCGTTCTTTGTACTTGTACACAATAAAATCGCCAAGACGGCGAGCGTTTAATTAAAGAGACATTAATAATATATAATTATACATTAATAATGTGTAATAAGCGAAGGAAAAGGATCGAAGTGGTGGAAGAGAAAAATGAGAATCTCCGGGAATGGATTTGCAAATAATTGGATGAATGAAGGTGTAGAGGGATAAAAAGTCCCTTAGAGCAAAAAGACAGTTCTCTATGCGCATTTCTTCTTCTAAATTATTTGATTGATTTACTAGAGTTTCTCGAGAGAGAAAAAAAAGATCATCTGAAGATGACATTTCTGTAATCGGATTTCGACGAATTATACAACGTTTTATAAATTCTAGGATTGCGTTTGTTAGCATCTTGAGTCGTTCATATCCTCGTAAAGAATATCTTCAATTAACGAATCAAGATGAAGAGATCGCAAAATTTGTGCTAACGCGAGGATGATCGATCGATCGTTTAGCTGCATAATCGAGAAAATCGCAAGCTGGATTTTAAAGGATATTTTTGGTCCATCTTATTTTTATCACTTGTTAAAACTCACAATTCTCTGGAAATTAATTATTACATATATTATGGAAATATCGGAACTTAATAATAATTAATTTCTCAACTCTTACTCAAGTCCGTTGTATAACGAAAACGGTGAATATTTATTTTTCATACAAAAACATTTATATAAAGGCTACGATAAGGCAGAAAGGTTGTTAAAATCCAGCATCGATAATCTCACGTGTCGTTTCTTTCGGTATACAATTCGCTGTGTGCAAATATCGCACGTGGAAAAAAATACGTGCTCCACATGTTCGGAAACACGTTTACAGAAGCGAGACACGCAGCTAGCGATTATTATTAATAAATTACCAGGACTAGATTTTTTTCAAGTTTCGGGGGATCTCTTCGTCCCGCGAGAAAGAGATCCGTCTACTACTTAAATCTGCCGGTATACAAAATATTGTCTCTTATCTCGCGATATATATATACCTATATATAAATATATATATATATATATATATCTTTATCGCATTGTATATATGCAATATATATATATTGCATATATACAATGCGATAAAGAATGTTACGTGGGTCACACGTCGCACGTGTTGCTTGACACATGCACAAAATATATATATGTCATATACAAAATATCTCTCCGCGCATTGGAATCCTCGTCATCGTAACCTTTGTTAAAAAAAATCGCTCGCTTAATTTACTGGTCCGTGAATTCCTGAAATAGATTTTGTACACTGATGAATGAAGCATCGGACTCTCTCCGATTACGTAACTTGGAGTTTTTTTTGTTTCGCGATTCCCTGATCGGAGCAGAGCAAAATCCGATCGGGTTTTCTCCCGCACGTGGATTATTCTCTAAACACGTGATGTGTACAAACGAGTATTTTTATATTTAGGAAGAAAAGGTACAAATTTAAGTCGTTCACGCGAATTTCTAAAAATACGCTCTTAAAATTACAGAGGAAATACAGGAGAGTAGATAAATCAGGCCGCGCAAGAGAAACACATATATAATAATTCTAAATAGTTCTCCTTAGTCTAATCATATACAATATATATTATTCTATATATATATATTTGTCCCAAAATATCTTTCAGAGATATAAAAAACGTACCAATGTACAAATCGTGGTGTATTTACCGAATGTTTTGTCGCAAAGCGCGATGTAACTTCTAGGGAGTAACTTTTCTTTTCTCTGTTAAAATCCGCGATTTCGAATCCCTCCAGAAGCTACATACAACGCCTAATCTCGAATGAAATGCACATTATCGCGTGATTCATCGGTTTTAGCCGTTTCTGATACGGCTAACATATACGTGAATGTCGAGATTTCTTTTACAACAAAAATAAATATATCGATGACAGAATTTCTAATTATAAACGCAGTTAAAATTAATAGAAAATAAGCAAATTTTTTATTTTCAACTGCAGCTTATGATTTCTCAACAAATTAATTTGTACAAAATTATAAAGTATAAAAAGATGATATAAAAAATATATATTTCACACTATCGCGATATATACATTTTTTCGAAGTTTTCGATATATCCACGTTTACTCTCTCTTGCCATGTGGAAAGCTCTTATAACGAGAGAATTAATCGTACAAAAACTATGTGCTTATTTCACATAAAATCATTTTCTCGCCTAACATTCGCAAAAGTGACATTTTTACATTCACAAAAAAAATAGTATCAAAAGTCACGTATAAACATACACGAAGAAAGAAATGAGTATCAAAAATCACAAATAAAAAAACAGATAACTTACGCAAGAATTACACTATCGATCAATGTATTTCCTTCTGATCTCATATTACGTGCATTCTCATATAAATTATCTATTGATATAAAATCTGTAGAAATCTTTCGATAAATTCATATATGTTGCTGCTTAATGCAAACGATTGAAAACGTACGTGTACTATATCTTGTACTTGTATATGTGTCGAACGTGACTCTTTTTGTACTATACTTACCGTCGACGCAGAAAAACTGCGAAAAAAAACCAGTCATTATCTTCATATCCTCGTATATTAATATCATAATTATATATTATATTGTCTGAGTGTTTCCCGAAATCATCTCATTCTTTCAATCAAAAATTTGCATTTGTGATTGAGGGAAAGATGATTCAATGATTTTGGGACTCATTCTGTTCGCGAATAAATATATATATTATGTACATACATGTATATATAATAATATAAATATATATTATATATGTATAATAAATATAATATAATATGATATTTATTAAATATATAATAATATTAATAAATATTATAAATATAATATAATAAATATTATATTATATAATATAAATATATATATATTATTATATACATAAATATATATATATATATATATATATATATATATATATTCATACAAATACGAATGTTACGTGCTAATTCTACAGACATTTAATTATGCGCTCCACGCTTAATTAATATATCCTTGCGTTAAAAAATATACTCCAATTCGTGCTTAAGGCAACTTCAAGAATTTCTCACGAGCTTCGGCATCAATATGATACGATTTATTTATTATAACATTCATTCAATTTCTGGTCACTTTTGAATGAAAATCATTTTTTTTTTCCGAAAGATGTAAGAATAAAAATTGTATATATTTGAACATCGGTAAAATTTACGTGTTTCTCACCGAGTGCATTTCATTCGTGTGTGTGTTTATGTACACATCGATCCATATTTATAGTTTTTTTTTAACAGAAAAATGTTCAATCGACTCTCTCAAAGAATTTATTTTGGCTCTCTCGTTTGATTAAAATATTCGCAGATAAATATTACGTATATCAAAGAAACAACTTAACTTTTATTGTCAATGTTTGAACAATATGAGTTCAACAAAATTGACTCTTAATTTTTATATCTCGAATATACAAAAATAATTCAAAATATAAATAAATTCATATATCAAAATATATATAGATAGCAGCATATTGAGAGAGAATTATTGTCCTTTATATACATTATTATTATTAATGTATTGAATTAAAAATCACTCAATTCTCTCTAAACTTACAAGAGTTTAAACGAAAGTATATAAAGTGTCTCGTTGTAAGGAAACGAAATCTAATGATTTTATTAGATTCAGGGGACGAAAGTTAAATTCTTCGATTAAACTCTTAAAAGCCAAATAATATATAATACCTAAGTAGATGAGAGTATAACGAGAATACGATGTAATCTAAAGATTAATTAAACGACGTGGTATCCATTTTTGGAGAGAAATGCAAAGCATGACGAAACGAAATATTGACTTTGCAAGAGTATTTTCTAGATTCTGTCCGACTCCTACGAGTGCTGATAGGGTATAATCTGGGAGGCTAATGGAGGCGGTAGAGGCGCGTTCTCCTCATGAATCATTACTAGTTTGCCGTACTTAACCATTTTTCTCGTCTGCTTGCGCTGAATAGAAAAAAGCAAAGAGAAAAACGGATCGTGTTATGTACATAATAGAATATATTTTGATGGATTTTTTCTTTTAAATAATAAGTCTCGCACTACTCTCTTTTATTCGTTCTCACCTGCGACTCGGACCAGTTGCCGTTGCTGCTTCCGCTGCTTTCGCTCCCGCTCGACGTGGTCCCATCCTCGAGAACGAGTTCCGTGCCGAAGCCCTGCAGCTCCAGGTCCACGTAAAGTTGGCCCAGCTGATCGTTCACCAGAAGCGGTTGATTCAACTTCTTCATCGCGTCCATATCGACCTTCAGCACCTCGTTCAACGTCTTCGGGTGCATCTGGTATTTGTAGATCAACTCCGGCGTCAATTGAACGCCCTCCAGCCAGGGTGGATCCCTCCTTCGCATTCCTTGATTGCACTTGGTGTGTTCCTGAGCATTTATATCGATTACGTTATCGAAGAGGGCTGAAAAGAGCATCTAAAGGAGCATCTTTGCGCTTCGAATTTAGTTCTCTACCTCGGAGGAGACTTCGCATGTTTTCTGGTCTGGATTGCAACTGCTATCGCTGCTCTTGTACAGGAAGCTGCTGTAGAAGCTGGACGAGCTCGACTCGTCCCCGCCACCGTAGTCGGTCGATCGACGCTTCTTCACCGGCGTTGGAAGATCCACCACACTCGAACAACAGCCGTCATTGCTCACGCATGACGAAAACAACTCGCCCGGCGATAGAACCTGCGCGATGTAATTAAAATCGATATTGGAAGTGACATCTCATCGTAGAATTATCGAACATTTCCAATCAGTCTCTCATAGAGATTATTATTTAAAATTGGTCTACAAGACAGATAATTTGTACATTAAAGTTAATATCCGGCGATCGTTTTACCTTCTTCGAGGACTCGGACATGGCCATTATGCTCCCCGGCTCGGCTTTGACACTCGTAGCTTGGCTAGCCGGTCGTTTACGATCCGGACTCTTGTTGTTAGACGGCTGCTGTTGATTTTCGCGCGTCGGCGCTTGTTCCGGTATCAGAAACGGCTGATACATCATCGCACGTGGCGGCGGCGCGCCGATCATGGCTGGATAAATCATCCCGGTCGTGACATAGGACACTGGAGCAAACATGAAAAATTTTTTAGCTCGAATTCTGCCTCTTCATATTCCGATTCTTTCATGATCTAGGTGCTAAGAACTCCTTACTATTTTACCTGCGGTTATTATATATTTATTTCTGCGTCGAATGAGATACCTACTGTAAGGATGCTGCGTCGATTGCATCGACGGGGATGGATCGATCTTCTCCCGGGGCGTTGACATCGTCGTCGCGGACTCGTTGGGTTGCGCCATCGGCACGTAATACACCGGTATCATCGGCGGAAGTAAGGCAAATCTCGTCTCCGAATTGGTACTGAAATTTAATTCCACATGGCTCGCGTAATTGTCTCTTTGATCTCGTGTCTGATTATTTTGTCTAATTAATTTTGCGAGCGCTTTATACATAAAATTTAATATTATATTATTCTATAAAAAATATATGTTATATTATAATTCATATTTTACTCTTAGCTCTTACTTGTGGGGGGAAACGCAAGGTTGAGCAGATACGGAGGAGGAGGGTACAGTAACTGACAGCGGTGGCCACATATTAATATTCGCCCCCGTTTGCACTACAGTCGACTGATCGAGACTCATGCTGGTGACGGTGGTGGTCGTCAGATTCGCCGGACCCGCCGTGCTCGTCCGCGAGATTTTATCGTGTTTCGATACCTATTTTCAAATTTTTCCCTCATTTATAAATCCATACTTTCACCTAAACTCATTTACTCGCTTTATAATTCGAAATAATTCATATATATATATATATATATATATATAATATTATACGTCTATCTCTTTAACATATTAGAAAATAAGGAATTATAAATATCTATTCATGCCACACGCGAGAAAGATGAAAAGACACCTTGAAGCTGTCGCCCTCCCGGCTGTGACGACTTCCGCTCCTCTTGATCCCGTGACCCTGATTCGCATACTCGGTCGCGTTACTCTTTTCCGTCTTGTTGCGGGAGTCCTTCAGCTTGTCGCTGTTCTTGATGCTGGAGCGCAGCTCCCGGTGCATCTGCATCATCAGCTTCTCCATGTTCTCGTTGTGCCGGTTCAGCAGTGACTCCGTCAACGTGGGAAGCTTGAAGCCCTCCGTCGGGGTGATCGTATTGCTGTTGCTCGTGATGTTGAAGGCGTCGCCTTGGCGGCTGACCGAGCTCGTCTGATTGTTGGAACCACTACTCAGATTCTCGCCGCTGCCGCTGCCACTGGCACCGCTGCCATTTATCGGGGACATGCATTTCCTCGCTGAAAAGACGATAGGATTTTGCTCCATCCAAGGCATTGCATATGTGTCCCATTTTAATGTCCCACCCCAAATAACTTTGTTATTTTTGATTGTAGAAGAAAATGTTTGAGACAAAAATTGGACATGAGATGCTGCCATTAGTTTGACCTTGAATAGTTGCTTGAACTTAAAAAGTTCCTAACGAAAAGGTATACTTAATTATAGGATTTTGGAAAGCTCTCGATGTAAGCTAGAAGAATATATAATGAAAAGTAGGTACTTCCATTTAAGAAATTGAAGGTGACCTTCAAGCAACTATTAAAACCATACAATTCTCATGTCCTCTAAATATCCTCTTTCGAATATATGCGTTATTGGGGAAGAGAAGAGAGAAGATGATGACTTACCACCCTCGTCGTTACTGGAGTTGACGTTCTCCTCATCGCTGCCGTACATGGTGGTGACGGGTGGTTTGCTCTTGAAGAAACGCTCAATGTTCTCGTTGTAATTGAGCTGATTGTAACTCGGGGGCGTCTCTGTGGAAGACTTGCTGTCGTAGTACTCGTGATGTGGCGAGATCTCTCCGAACATCACGCTGTCGTGTTCCTGCAACAAGGGATTGCGTGATCCCTTCACAAGTATAATGTAGAAACTTATTAATATGAGTTGAAAACAAGAGTATTCAATTTAACGTTGTTATCGTGGTCAGTGGTTTTTTTTGCGTGAGCGGTGATAGTAAGTGCGCCAGCAGCCCTGACGAAGATCTCGGTCTCGATTAAAGAGAGTCTTCTTAGAAAGAAGCGTTGAAAAACCCTTCGCCCATTACAAGTGATACGAGTCACCTACGATCGTCCATTCGCAAGCTTGCGGCAAGCTTCGTGCGCATATTTACGCGTGATTTTTTAAGCAAAGAATTCGATCGATCATGCGAGCACCTCATTATCCGGTTCGCAAAGTTCCTCATTGTGTCAGATCTGTGTTATTATTCTTATTCTCTCTCCTCTTAATCAATCTCTCGGATACCGATTAAAATCGGTAGAGCTCTAGTTCAGTATCGCAGACACATACGAGCGTTTTTGATTCTCCTGTTTTCAGTTTATTCTTCGTCATTCATTTCTTTTCATCTACATAATCTTCATCATTATCATCATCCATTATCATCCATTATCATCATCATCATCCATTATCATTATAATCATCGTCATCATCCATTATCATCATTATCATCATCATCATCATCATCATCATTATCTCTTATCCTTCATGTGTTCCATCTTTCATTCAACTCTTTGAAAATATTATGCGCATGAATAATAATAAAAAATATAAGCACGAATAAATTGAGAAAGATATGTAAATAAAATAAATGCAAAACAATAAAATATACATACATATAGAATAGTGTGAAAATTGAATAGTCAATATACATTCATCGAGGTAATCATTCGAATGTTCTTTCCTGTTTCTCACCTTTTCTTCATATTCTCGTGTCCGTTCATACTCTGTCGTTAGTTTCAAAACCTTGTAAGTAAAAAAGTTCACCGGATGTTACGAATGTCATTTTGTAATAATCTCTCGTCAGATATAAACTAGACTTTCAAAGAGTACATATCGATGTTGCTGCGTATAAAATATCGTCGTCGTTTGAGAAGATAATTTTGCGATCGTGAAAAAGTTTGAGGAAGAACAAAGTGCTATAGAAAAATTATATATAATATAGGGGCGATAAGATTTCTAAAGATTATTGAAAAGAAACTTGCTCTTCGTACATTTTTTACATTTTTATCAGGTGTGATGGAAGAGTATATACATGCTGCACGTTGATTAAGAGTCCTAATTAAGTGACTTATGAAGCAAATTCTCCACAATCCAGGAGATTGATAGCTCATTCGAGAGAGGCAATGAAGATAAACAAATATATGTATTTCTCCTTTCTTTTCCTTTGACAATCCGCCTCTTTCATCGAGGGACAATAATAAAAGTGAGTGTGAAACAGAAAAAAAAACAACAAAAGAAGTACATATGTAGAGACTTACCGGACAACCAGTGCCTATACAAGGTTTTGAAATTTGACGCTTATCCATTACCGGCTCTATCCGACTTTCTCATCGCCCTCCGTCTGTGTCTACGTACAAAAGAGAGTTTTGGCAGGGAGGCATCCTTGATTAAAGGTTTCTCTTTCCGCTAACCACTGTATTTGTGTTACAGCTGCTACGGATTCGTCGTGTGCAGAGTATCTGTTAGCCAGCACCTTTGCTCTTTCCAAGTACCCTGAGGAATCTACTCACCTTCCTCGACTCTACCCAAGTCCCCTTAAAAAGGTTTCATCCGAAGAAGCAGCGAGAATCCTTTCGCAGGTCGCGCGATTTCTCATCGGTGCTATTTTTTTGCGATATCACGAACGGATTCGAGATCCCCCTTGATCTGATTGCGACATTTATAAATGGATAAAAAAATTATTTTAATTATTTAATCAATTAATAAATTAATAAATTGTTGGATAATCGATTGAAAAATGGATGACACGAAAATTAATTTACCAGAAATAATTGAATAATTTTGATCCTTTTATAAGGTTATTGTTATTTATTCAAAGATCAAGGCGGTGCTCGAGACAACTTCGCGTGAACGGTGTCATTAATTAATAATTGATAATATTGATAGCGAACACTTCAGTATCTTAATATAATTTTCAAAATAATTTAATTTTTAAACAATGAGAATTCTTTACTTGATGATGAATATTTATTTAACTTTCATAATTGTTATTTAATTGTACCATACAAAATTGATCATGTATAGAAAATCAAAGGATTCGTGCAGTTTAGAAATCGTTTAAAGAAGACACACCGTGCATGCAAGTTAATAAAATACACAATTTTACGTTATATCCTTTCGAGATATCGAAGGCACCGTTTAAAATGTGTTTTAACTTGAAATTAATCTTGAATCTTGAGGATACAAAAATACAACAAGAACCGAACGATAAGCGAAAGTTTCCGGTTGCTTCGTAAAAGACGTTTCTTACCATAGAATCTTATCTATTAACCGTTTTACGATTTGTTTTAATTTTATTTATTTACATCATGCATTCGCCATTGTGGAGAAAGAAGAAACGTTCTCAGGAAGAACTTTTCTTCTTCTCCAGTTATCCACGATACATTTCCAATACTTCGTTGTTCGGTATATAATCTTAATAATAAATGCGAGAAAAAAAGCAAACATTCCCAAAGACACGAATGATTTTTTAAACACTAATTTTCTCATTTATTGAGATATAAAAATGACCGAAAAAAATATATCGTGCATCGACGGCGAGATTATATAAGTTTGACCATTCCATTATTATTATAGTATCAAAATTATCTACTATATATATTATAGATATACATAGAGAATTTTTGTTATTGTCGTAGCATACCAGAGAGCATACCGTAAGTAATAATTAGCATAACAGTGTTTTTTTTGGCGATACTAAAACGTAGCTAATAGTCACCGAAAAGCTCCTGAGTTCGTCCGCCGTGAGAAGTCCATCCTTGCTGACCCCGAGTGCCTTCGTCTCCTGCAGCAGACTTTCCATGAAGGACGCTAGGTCCTTACATCGCTTTGATACGTCGAGCTCGGTTATATCTGACATTGTCTGGACGTTCTGCGTACACGTACGATAGAAAAAAAAGAGACAAGTTGGGGGATGAGTTACTCCATCCATTGTGGAGAGATACTTTTGTTTCTTTCTTTTCCTCTCAAATACGAAATTTTTTTGTCTACCAATTATATATAAGCTTTTTTCTTAAATTAAGTCTCGCCCTATCAGAGGATTATAATCGCGTCGTTGAACAGCTGCAATGAGATTAACCCTTCTGTCAATGCAGAATTTTTCATCAATACTGCATTGCGAGAATTTCTTTACAATAGTTGCTGGACATTAAACATTTTTTTCGTTATTTTAGGATTTTGAATTCTGAATCTACAGATTTTTAAAGAATTTTAATAATTATATTAATATTATATATTATAATATATAATTTCCGACACATTTAAAAAATGTAAAATTAAATTTAAAAATTCAAGTGAAATTAGAATGAAAAATTGCTTCGAGAATTCTTTGACAGAAAGATTAAGGGTGACTGATTTTTAAAGAATTTTAATAATTATATTAATATTATATATTATAATATAATTTCCGACACATTTAAAAAATGTAAAATTAAATTTAAAAATTCAAGTGAAATTAGAATGAAAAATTGCTTCGAGAATTCTTTGACAGAAAGATTAAGGGTGACTGATTTTTGAAAATAATTTTTCGTGCGAAATTACAAGCCTTATTTCTACGGGAGAATATTTTCTACTAAAAACTGTGCAAATAGCGTGTGTGTATGCGTCGTTACCTCCTCGAGGAGCGCCCGTATCTCGCCCTGGATGATCTTAGCCTCCTTCAGGACCTCCTCGCTTATGCTGGTCAGGTAGCCGCTATCGGTGTCGCGTGGCACGCGAAAGATGTCCGGATCCACCGGCCCTTTGAGCACCCGGTGCTGACCTACGACAAACTCTAGTTTTTTCGTCCAAGGATTGATAAAGGACGACCACTCGGTCTCGAGGACGACGCAGCCTCCGTTCTGCACGGCGAATCTGTACGGTTTCGACCTGAAGGAGGAGCCTTCGAGCCTGATCACCTGTTCAACGACAGGTAAATCAACAGGTGAATCATTTTACGTAAACCGAGAACGCTCTTTCGCTCTTCCTAGCTCTCGTCCTCAGGATCGCATTCATTCTCTCTCTTTCTTTCTTTCTTTCTTTCATCATTGTTTTTTCATGCATAAACACACACAACTGGAACCTAAATTTCTTTCTCTGGGGGAAAGGGAGGGCTCATGCTCACAGTCTCGTAGATGTCTTTGATGAAGGGCAGATCCTCGGGATGATAGAAGTCAAACAGCGAACGGCCAACCATATCCTGCGGTAGGTAGCCGAAGTATTGGACTACGTCGGGATCAACATGAGATAAATGGCACGTCGAGGTGTGGCGAGTCGTGAATACCGAAGATATTATTGTTTCTTCTGGCGCTGCGGATAACGACAAGGTCGGGGTCATTCTCTCTCGTTGCGGGATACCTTGTAAGTGAGATTCTTACTATTGCGGTAATTAAGCAAGATGGAAATTCGCGCCCTTCATTAAATACAAATCTATTCATTGCATAATTATATGCAAAGTTTAATCCTCGAGGTTAATTAAAATTTTATTATTAATAAGTACAACTTTGCACAAATTTCCACACTAATATTACGGATAATCTTCGGAATTTTTATCTTTTTTTTTCTGTATTGACATAAAAAATGTAACGTGTAACAATTTCGTTAAATATAAGACATTATAATATATGTCTTATATTAATATATAATTTATATAATGTATATAAATATTTATGTATAATTATATATTATATATTAATTATAATATTTATACAATTATAATAATGAATATAATTTTCATATAATATTTACATAATTATTAATATAAGATATTTTTCATAATGTCTTATATCAATAATAAAATAATAATGTAAAAATAATTTTATAAGTAATATACATCACTCGCACATTAATTAAAAAATCAAGTTAATTATAAAGTTATTGATTAATTTTAAAAAATTCCGAAGAATACCGTCGATGAGAAACTGAAATGACACAAAGCCCACCGATGCGAATAAAAGTTGAAAAAATCGCTCGATTTGAATGAAATACCCGATGACGAAGCTTGCGTGCATAAGTATGCTGTTGTGGCCGAAGATAAATGAATCTTTGATGTGCTAAAAAAAGCGAAGCGAATATTTCGCCGCGAAAAATGTAAAAACGTGTGAGTGTAAGAGCGTTTCGTAACAGTGGTCTCCAAACTGAACGAAAGAATGAGTCGAAACAAGAACAAAGAGAAACGATACAACGATCCAAAAAAATTGCAATTAACATACCGTCACGTGTGTCACCGACTTTGACAAACATTGGAAGTAAATTACCTTCGCTTTTAGACGTTTTCCATGGAAACCACCGACTCACTGTGACTCTGTCGTTGACGAGGTCGGACCAACGATAAGGCTCGATCGAGCGAGCAATTAAGTGTCTCGAGCCTCACACATGACAGCGGATATATATTCCCGAAAATATGAAGAAATAATGTAAAGATGTGAAATTACGGGCGTAAAAATATCCTACAATTTTTCTTTGTATATTTCGAATTCATCCTGAATTGTTTATCCTCTAAATTCGAGTTAATTCGATGAAGCTTTATCTAGATTATTCTGCATATTAAAATATATCTCATACGGTTAACACGGGAAAAGAGATGAGATTAAACAATTTTTAGTAAGGAAAAATGTTTAGTAAGGAAAACAAATTAAGGTTGCTAGAGCAATCGAAGTAACTCGATTTGAAACCACTAGCTAGTTCTGCGACAATTAAAAACCGACTGTAATCATCGAGTCCTCTCGCCGGTCGGACCTCGTCCAAGACCTTGGACCATGCTACCTTTGTATGCGGAATGGACGGGTTGGGCGGTAACTACGAGGAACATAGCTCGGTTGCTGGGCTTTTGTTCTGCCGTTTGGTCTCGGAAGTCGCGGAACGATAGGGTCAGGTGAAACGTCAGGTACAGGTTCGATCTGGCGTCCGCGCGATGTCCGTTCGGCACGTTGCACTTGGTGAACCTTCGCAGGCCGCAGAACAAACTCGCCCTTCTGCCGTTGATGCCTGGAAGAAACGAATATTATATTATTATTGATATATATTATTATATATATTATTATATATATTATATATATTATTTTATATTATTATATATTATTATATATATTATTATATATATTATTTATATTATTATATATTATTATATATATATATTATTATATATATATTATACATTATTATATATTATATTATATATAAAAATATTTAAATTAAATATAATATATTAAATACAACACACAAAATGTATATTTGACTTAAATACTAATACATGTTCAATTAATAAAATAGTAATTTAGTCGAAAGATTTATAGTCAAGTTAACAAATCTTTTTTTTTCAGTGAAGAAACTGATCCATAAAATTGTTGCATACCTTTAAACCGCTCTTCCTGGGGGGAAGCGATGCCGCTGGTGATCTGATCGGCAAGGGTGACCTTATCCTTCGGGTGGACGTAATCGATGAAGGACCTGCCGATCCAGGCGTCCTTGAAGTAGCCGAGGGCGGTGCATATCGAAGGGGTTGTATACAACACGAGGCCGTCGTGCATCGAAATCACTGCGCAAAATCCTTCCTACACAGGATACACCCGGTAGATATTAGGGGAGGCTATCGGCTGAATCTCGCGAGAGATTCTTTCTATATGCCTTTTACTCGTTTTTCATTCCTCTCTTCTATATTACGTCTATTACAGTGATGTATGCATATACTAACGTTGGCTTGAGACGTGGAATCATCAGGAGGGATCATCCGCGAAGCGAGTCCTGCTGCATCAGGATCTGTGACGATGTCGCCGTTGTGCTCCCCAGGATCTGTTGCATCCACCAATTCCACAATGGTTACCTCTTCTTGCATTACGTCAAAAGAAATGCTCATTGTTATGCGTTGCCCAGAACATCTGATGCACATTTTAATTTATACATGCATCTTTGCGAGCTCCTAATTATGGGATCCAACAAGAAAGCTGAGCTTCTTACAAAAAAAAGCTGATTTTACAAAAAGTTTGCGGCGCATATATAACAATGTACAAAAAAATTATTTAACAATTTAATAATTTTAAATAAATAAAAAAACAAACACATATTCGAAAAAATATAATTATTTTAAAAAATTATTAAAAAAATATAAAAGCTGATTTTATAAAAAGTTTTCAGCGCATATAACAAAAAAATGATTTAATATATAATTTAATATTTTTTTAAATAAATAAAAACAAACACATATTTAAAAAATAATTATTTTAAAAAATTATAAAAGTTGATTTTACAAAAAGTTTGCAGCATGTAACAATGTACAATAAATTATTTAATAATTTAATAATTTTTTAAAATAAATAAAAAAACAAACGCATATTCGAAAAATATATTAATATTGCGTTGTAATTTGTGCTTTGCCATAAAATTGCCGGAACGACCGCCGCAAAAATTCAATGCCATTACCTAACAGTATATTATGATACAATCTTTCCGAGTGTTGTATCATTTCCCGGTGAAAGGCATTTCTTTGCAAGCACATGGAGGCGTAGCGTGCAATATGACATTTAAGTGAAAGCGATGTAAATCGCATTACGACAATTTTGCAACTATATATAGATCCTTTCATTTTCATTTCTAAATTTTCTTCTCGGCAAAATCTGCATCTCCAAGTAGCGTTGCGATCAAATTTTTTACACGAAAGTTTGATAAGAAATTATCATGCTTTGTGATTTTAATATTTTGAGCAAATTTAAATTGGACTGAATTTATACAAAATTGATATCTTGATCAATTCTATATATCTAAGCATCACGTGTATTTGGGTCAAAAGTTATAAACAAATTTGTCATTAATAATAGACGACTTTTAAGAGCTTTATATTTAATTGATTATGTAAATGCTTACGCAAACATAAAGAATAACATATGTTGGCGAGGACAGAACGAGGATGATTTCATAACGCTCACGTTACACCTCCAATTAACACGACCCCGTAAGAGGGTTGGCGTAAACTCGCTAAAAATTCGAGCTCTAAAATACTCTTTGCTCTAGTAAAAATTTCAATTACGCAAGTTCGGCGAATATGTGTTTCGCGAATAAAAATCGACAAAAGATTTTAGCTCAAAAATGTTCATTACGTCAACGCATTGTATAACGCTTTCGAATAAAAAAATAAATCTGCAACGTAAGTTTCACGTTTTAAACGTACGATTAAACTCCTTTGGCTTCGTCGCTTAGCTCATCGATCCATCAGTGATCCTCGAAAGTTTATATAACGTGAGTGTGTTAAAATCTGTCACGTTCCCGAGGAGCAAAGAAGACCTAACAATAATTTCTCAATCAACACGAAAAAAATTTCGAACTCGAGATTTTACTAATTAATCTTCTGTCTTTTCGACTCGATTTTTTTCCTACACTTTTTCTCTTTTTATTTAATTAAATTTTTGCACTATCTTACGCAACCATAAATATTTATAGAATACAAAAAGAAATGTGTGATACTGAAAAAAAATTGAAAAATTATTTGACTTAACTCGTATGAATTGTAAAAATAAGAATCGTGAAATTTTATATATTTATTATACTTTTAGATATTTTTGCGTTTGATATTTTGTTCGTTTCACACCTAGGTCGATCTTAATCTCATTAACTACGAGATATTTGATGAGATAAGGGATGTTCTAAGGGATAATCGTGAAGGGATCATCGGAAGCCTTAGGTTGAAAGGTAAGCGAAACCCGAAGAAATTGGGAAGAGTACACGGAAACAATTTGTCAAAAAACTAATTTATCGAGATTAACGATAGACATTCAAATGATCTCGATTTTTCTTTGCCAGAGACATGAATTTAACAATTAGGAATATAAAGTTTTTGTAAATATCAATACAATTATTTTTCTCTGGCACACTGACGTAGGCGATTTTACTTCGTACAAGCGTGCGAAAAGCAAGTACGCGAAATTTAAATTCATTCCACTGCGAGTGAAAAGATGCGTATATAATCGGACACGCGAGAAAAAATAAACTCTATCTGAATAACACAATTATATTTATAATCGATAATTAAATTATTAATATCAGTAAAGTCTATTAGCATTTCTCTTTGTAAATCGTTGCAGAAATTTTATAACTCAATGCAAATCTAATTTTGTTAAAAATAATTTTTTTTTTTAATTAAAAAGTATCAAATAAAATATTTTGACAAATTATTATTTATAATAATTATAATATTACAAATTTTTTTTAGTAATGCAAATTTAATTTTGTTAAAAATAAAAAAAAGTTTTTTAATTAAAAAATACCAAATAAAAAATACTTTGAAAAATTATAATATATAATAATTATAATATTAAAAAAATGTTCTAATAAAAAAATAATATTTAACAAGGAAGAAGACTTCGCATCGCGCTTGGTTCTTAATTAGCCCGCTCTTATATTGTTATGAATATACAAAAATATAAAAAATATATATAAAAAATGGCGATTCAAAAGAAACTCGTAAGATGGAAATCGCGGACAGTTTGCGTGCACTCGTTTCCCGCCTTCATTGGATCGCGAAACCAACCTGATTTCTCGTTAAGAACGCCACCGTTGTTCGCGGGGACGATGACGCTGTAGGATGTGACCTCGGGCAACACGTTAGTCGTCTTCAGAGCACTGACTTCCGTCTCGGCGTTGATCGCCGATACCTTCGACTTCTTTTTCTTGTGCTCCTTGTCCTTTCTCTTGCTGATCGGCTGCGGTAGCGCCTCATTGCTGACAGATCAGTACACACAATACATGTAAAATCGTCTTCATAATCTTGATGACGTAGGATTTCGCAGATGTATGAATTGAGCGATTTTATGATCGAGTAATTTTTTTCTTATAAAAAAATTTCTCTGAAGTCGTGTCTTTCAATGGATTTGCATCAAGTGTCATTGAAAGATTTTGTTCACATTTGATGCAACAGCGAAATGTTGAAATGCAAATGAACTATGCGATTTGCATATTTTTGACATTCGAGAGAATTAATAATATATGATCTGTTTATATAATACACTGATCTAATTTAATAACTTAATTACGCTAATATAAGCAGTTAATATAATTTAATATTCGACATATCCGAATTCGAAACCTTTTGATAGCAAGAATCGTACGATGTCGTTGCTTAAAATTAATTAAATTAATAAATTATCACTTGCTCGCGATCGCATCAGCAGATCATCCACGTGTCGTGCCATGTGACATGTGACACATGGATGATCTGCAAACAACAACGTGGAAATTGTTGATAATGCAAAAACACGTGTGTGATTCTCGTGCGATCTAAGAATAAACACCAGGAAAAATATTTTATTAGAAAAACATAAATATTATATTGTAGTATACATATATATATATATATATATATATACTAATTAATTTCGAAATAAAATTATGAAATTGATTTTCCTCGCGCTGTCTATTCTTGCAAATGCAACATTTGCGAGATAACAAGCTAATTAATCACTAATGATCATTAATAATCAATGTTAATAATAAATTTAATTTAAATCAACATATGAATATATTTGTACAAGTGTTTAATAAATTGATTCATGATATAATGACCACATACGATTTTTAATAATAAATTATTATATAGATATGTATAATATGTATATTAATAATATACATATATATATATATATATATATATATATACATATGTATATACATATGTATATACCTATATATTATTAATATACATCATATAATATATTAAATATATAATATAATAATATAAATTAAATTTATAATAAATATATGAATATATAATATATAAAATGATTCTAATGGATTAATCATAAATCTGTGTAACTTTTTGGATTCATCTCTTACACGAAATTTTGGAAGAGATATTTTTTAAATTCAATATGTTATTTAATAAATTTAATTTATATTTGATAATAAATGCAATTAATCTTTGCGAATATCACGTTGCAATCACAACTATATAGTGCATATATATAGATGATAACTTTCTCTCGGGAAGCCCTTTTACGAGTTTACTGGTCTAATATAACTACAAAAAACGTGACTGTTACGTTGCACAAGGAAGAGAAAGTCCGCATTCGCCTGTCTAACATCCTTTCTGAACGCTTTCACCGGAAATCTTTTCGATCGTGCACGTTCTGTGCACTTTCGTCGCGAAATAAATAGCAAGAAATTGCATCATTAAATGTCAACAATTATGTGAGCGAATTGGTAGATTATAATTACGACTCTAAAATAATGCATCTATTTAAAATTGATTTGAAGGATAAAAGCAAAGTCAGCTCGATCACGTTATATTTTCTTTTTTACGTAACTCTTACCATTAAATTTTTCTCCTTTTCCTCTTGATTTCTTTTAATTAAAACGCACGAGATATTTTTTGTCTTGCGCCAAATACGTGATAATTGTAAAAATTCTAGACAAGAAATTTCTATTGAACAGACGCGCTAATTTATTTATTTCTTTATTTTAACAAGGTGCTGCATTAATTAATATTATGATTTATAGATATGGCATAAAACAATGATAAAAATCACGTGACAATATATTGATAATAAATCGGCGCCAAATTTATTTCTTCTTGATTTTTCTTCTTTATAGTTTTCCCGCTGTTTTAATTTTTTATCGAAACTAATTACGCACATAATGTTTCTTGGCAAATAATTAAATAAATCTCAATTTGAGATTTTTTATAAATTTCTCCCCTCAACTCCCCTAAAAAAAAGAGTAACAAAAATAACGAAGCACAGTAATTGCTAAAAATCAAAGGCGGGAAATAATTTCAGTCCCTTTATGTTCTACTCGAATGCTATTTAACACACAAATGTGTGTAAGATGTATAATTAAATTAATTGATGATATAACAGCTGATTACAATTGCAATTCCTGTTCCATCCTATTTTCAGGATTATTTTAATCCGACGAAATTATTTTAATATATTATATAATACACATAAAATATATATTTAGGTATATGGTAAATATATATTCTTCTAAAAAAATGTCTGATAACGTTCTTTGTATCAGAGAGTTCTGCCATTTACGGTAACATTTTCAAATAACTCTGATACGATCAATACGCGATAAATCGTCGCTAATTTGTCTAGTTGAAAATATCACTATAAATAGTACACCGTCGCACAACGTGATTACAATATATTTTTGTTTTTAATTACGATTGATCACGTATATACGTGTTTTCCAAATAGCTTTCCAAAGTGCAAAAATAACACATGATACAATTGCTCGGTTAATCTTGATTGTTCAAATTACGATCATTATTTAATTTTTATTTACACATTTTATGCTTTTCATTTTCTATAAAACCGGAATCTTCTACAATTTAATTAGCTATCGCTCCCATACCCATTTTCTTCAAATATCATTAATTTGGAGTTTCTTTCAAAAGAAATCTCTGTATTTTTGCATATTTTTCGAACAATGGATTATAAAATTTAAAGATATATCATCATCATTTTTATGCTCGCGATTAATTCGCAATTTTTTAAAGAAAATTGCAGAAAAAATGTGAAACCGATTAAAAAATTAAATTAAATTAAAATAAACACCTAAATATATATTTTAATATTAATTCTATTTTGATTTGACTTTGATAAAGTATCTTAAAATGGCATAATGCGCAATACTTTAAAACGTTTTTCAAAAAGAAGTTTTATTCGATAAAATAGTTTGATAAATTCGAAGAATTAGAATGTAATTAATATGAATCATATATTGCCTTTAATCGACTTCGACCATGAATATCAACACAATATATTCAGATCGATATTCGTTTATCATTATAACTTGGTCCCTCTTGCACGTATTATGCAACAAAACGCTGGAGTATCTAATGAATATATTTCCTAGGCAACCAGCATCAGCTGCACGTGGCGTGACACGTGAATCGGTGTTTACGATGTCGTCGTGGGCAAACTTATTCGTGTAGCTGACTTTAAACTGCACTTTATTTACAAGCAACGTTATATGCTAGAGTTACGCGACACGCTGATGTTTGAAGACCACGTATGCATAATCGATCGTATATCGAAGTAGAATCGTCCATGGAATACATGGTTAATTAATTTGTTGAAAAGAAAAAAGAACACCTTTTAAAATACAATCGACACGAAGATTAAATTGGTTTGTCTCATTTTCTAAAAAATACTTCGATACTTCGCGAGTTAAATTTTGGAAAATTATGTTAAAAATAGTGTGCTACGAATTTTAATTAAAGGGCATTTTAAAACACTTTGGAAATATATTTTTATTAAACAAATTTCATCCTGATTGGAAATATGTCCTTGAATAATTTTATAACATTTCGCTCTCAAATAAAAAATATATATTATTTTTTAATAAAATAAATATATATAAAATATATATTAAAATAAAAAATATAGTTTTTTTAATAAGAGATAATGTTGGGAAAAGTTTTTTATCTCTTTGTAACACAATATTCCAATAAAACGGACTTCTTAATTGGATGCACTTCCTTTTAAAATACGTAACGTCGCACATAACTTAAAGATCGTTATGAAACAGCCGGCGCCAAAGAGTTCTTATTTTATTTAAATGTGCAACCACATTTTTATTTTTTTCAACTTTTAATAATTTTTCTCGCGCGCGTGTATATTTTTTACCTCTTCTACCGTCCATGAAACCTTAAATAATAAATAATCGATAGACTGAAATTACCTGGATCCGAAGGTTGATGGATGCCTACCACAACAGCCACTGCTTTCAGAGCGATTACTGTTTCTTGAGCTGTCGCTGCTGTAACAGAAAACGAGAAAAATGTTTCGTAAGATGACACTTTTATAAAAATGTTCTTCCTCTATTTGTACACCCCAGATAACACAAGCGCGCTAAACGAACGTTTATTCCGCGAATGTAAATAATTTTAATTCGCTGAATTTCTATTATAAACCTAATTTTAATTCGCCGAATTTTTATTATGCACCTAATTTTGATTTTTGATTTTTTATTATGTACATAATTATATTTCTTCAATTTCTATTATGCACATAATTTTATTTTGCCGAATTTCTATTATGTATATAATTTAAAATCCAGCATTTCTATTATGTACACATTTCCTAATATTAGTTTCATTTATTCCTAATATTAGGAATAAATTTCCTAATATTAATATAACAAAATCAAAAAATGAGTTAACAAAACGCTGAAATTTAGACTGAAAGAAGAGTTCCTAATATTAGTTTCATTTATTCTTAATATTAGTAATAAATTTTCTAATATTAGTTTCATTATTCCTAATATTATTTTTTTCTCGAATAACGAGATGTCTGACACAAAATGCGTCGTACTACTGTGAGTCGGACCTCAGCCGAATATTTCCACTTCACGCTATTATTTTTTAGCGACAAATTTGCAAAGATAAAAACGATGAATGAATATTATGAAATTTATATTTTAATTTAAATAAAAATTGGTTAATTAATTAAAAATTTGAAATTTAATGTTTAAAATTTAATGTAATGAAAGTTAATGAATTAAAAATTTAAAATTTACATAAAAATATGTTATAAAGAATTAAAATAATAATGTTGTAAATAAGATGTTATAATACTTTAAACTAAAAATAATATTTTTTGACAGAAATCAGCTGATAACTGTCAAAAAATATTAATCGAGTTTAAAGAACTATGACATATTATTCAAAACATATTACTATTTTAATTTTCATAATATATTATTATTTTAAAATTTAATTAACAAATTAACGTTTTAATCAGCTGATTTCTGTCAAAAAAGTAAATATATTATAATATCTTATCCGCGAATAATTTTTGACAGAAATCAGCTGATAACTGTCAAAAATATTAACCGAGTTTAAAGTGCTATAATATATTATTTAAAACTTATTTAAAAATTATTATTAATTTATATACGGCATATCTATGTCAGAAAAGTAAAATTATAAAGAAAATTCTGCTATAAATTGTAGTTAAAATTGTAATAAAAATAATTGAAAATATATTATCATCCCAGAAAATAAGTATTAGCTATCATAGCTAAATTTTAGGTGATTTTATATTACATCTAAAATTTAGTTATTATGTATAATATTAATTTTAATCCTATCGATTGGAATCGGCAGAGCAAAAATCACGGCACGATCTACATTTATCTCACCAGGATTCGTCCCCTGCAAAAAACGATTGCAAAACCGCGACACAGTAGTCTCGATCGAGAATAAAAGTCACGCGACTCGAAATCGCGGGAAACCGGTCGCAACCGGAAAAAAGGCCCACGATCACATGTTCGGCAAACGTGACACGTTCAGCCCTTACTTGCATACGATCTATCTCTCTCTCTCACTCTATCTTTTTCTCGGACCTTTCACTGTCCCCATTATTTGCCGATCTACCGGCCGCATTTGTGCGGCTGGAATAATTATTGCATAAGAAGGCACAGCTTCACGTTCGCGGCCCCGTGACTAGTCCGCGAGGACGACGACGATCACTATCGATTCCGTTCTCTGGTTATGCTCGAAGCTTTTATAAACGGGACAAAGAAAATCGAATTATGGCGGCCCTCGATTGCACGGAGTTATGCAAAAACGCGTTAAACAAATTTCCAGGTTTCATTTTGAATAAACCAAGTTAAATGAGTTCCTTATTCTGCTTTGTTCTTATTTTTATTACAAAAGATAGAATTGAAATTATATAAATTTTTTATAATTTTAGATTAATCGACTTTTATATAATACTGTTCGATATATTGTATGTATAGACGCCTGATAGTCTCGTAATTTTATTAAAAATTAAAATTTGTGCCTGAGTGCATATGTTATATAAAATAAGGATTTTAAAAAAATTAGAATTATTAAATTTTAAATTATTTTTTGCTTTAAATATTCTATTTCTTGTCACTTGTTTTCACGAGCTTCTAAATAAATTATGTAATAGATCGTAAAATGTATATGAAAAAAATAAAGCATATTTATGTTTCAGAGTGATTGCACAGATATACCAAATTCTGCAGTTATCAATCAGTATAAATTTGTACAAACAATTGATGGAGATACGGAAATAGTTTCAGCTAAATGTCACTTTACAGGATATATACTGTAATCGATGAAAGCCGATTTGTTTATAGTATGCTCACGTGTCCCGCACGTATAAATATTGCATGCACAATTCAGGATGACGATTGATATTTATGGTGTCTCACGTGATTAATTTGCAACAATTCCGTCCCATCATTATTTATAGCGTCTTCGATCGTGATAATTATATCAATAATAGTCCGTCGATTATTATATATATACTTCTATCGAAAATAAGCGCAAAATTATATATTAATTAAAGTATATATTATAAAATATATAATATAAATTATATATATTAATTAAATATATATCGTGGTTTAAATATATATTACTGTGAAATTTTCTTCAAAATTGGATAATAAAATAATCATTCGAAAAATTGTAGCGCCAGGGATACAAAAAAATCTATGATTGTTTTTATGTTAGTTGTCATAAAAATAAGATTTAATAATCCTCGCGAAGATGATTCGTATCCTCTTTAATTGATTTATTATTTTTTCGTACAGTTTTTCGTTCGCTGCATTGCTGCGCGTGGCTGTCACGTGGCTGAAACGCGCGCTCTCGAACAGAGAGATTGCGAGAATCGATTCATGTCTCTTTCGAGCTAAAGGACGTGGAAAATGCAACCGGGAAACCGGTTAGCCTTAACCGTACCGTGTACGAGTTTCTGTCTCCCTCGCACGTTGCGCTATTCGCCTCTCGCCGAGAAAAGCATGTCAATGTCAAACGTTCCCCGGGAGGTGCATTAGAAAACATGATATAATTAATAAATGTAAGCATTCGTATATATTATAACAAATTTAATAATATAACGCGACGCGCAACTGAATGAGATATATATTTTAAATAGAATTTTTCTATTTCTATTTTTTTTATCAATGAAGACCTCCCTCCTTTCTCCTTTTAAAAAGAAAATGCATGGATTTTCTTATACGGTGTATAATACGTATTTTGAGCTTTTTCATCTTAAGATATAAATATAATTTTTTAAATTAAATGTAATTTTTTATACATAAATTTTTAAAAAATATTTTACATGTTTTGAAATATTGAAAAATCTTTTCAATACCTCAATGTTTAAAAAATTGAAGTGTATCGATTCGCATGATGTGTACAAAGAACAAAAATAATCGCAATATATTGTGGCGAATATATAGGTCACGTAGAAGCCAAATCATGTAGAAGCCAATGTTAAACCAATGATTCTGATTATATAAAATGCACTGTACGCCTCAGCTTGAACGAAAGAATTAATCTGCCGCAATATATATAATTATGGGATACGAGATATACAACAATTGATTAATATTATTTAATCCTTTTATTTCCATTAGAATTTTTATTGGAATCTTCATTGAATTCATATATGTTCCACCGACTTTTGTAATTTTTTTTTAATATCTGGTAATAATATTGTAATTATATATTATGTCAAAGCTTAGAATATTAAATATACAAAAGTAATATAAAATAATTACAAAATATTTTGTGAAAAATATTTTATCCGTGATATAAATCTAACTTTCTATATATATTATATAAATCAAATTTTGTTGTTCTCCTAGAAAAGACACAAGTAAAAGCTGAGCATGTAAAATACTTTTCATCAATAACACACTTTCATTGAATATAAAAAAAATTATAAAAAATATTCTCTAAAAAATTCCTTTTCTTTTAGAAACAATATGAATTTGGAATAAATTAAAATTTGCCTTTAACTCTCGTGCGTATGGATAAATCATCTGACAAATTATCCCCCTAATGAGCCACGTGACACTCGGACTGCAATAATCATACGGTGCAAGTTTTCTGGAAAATTATTGCGTTGCGTTAAGTATTGCTACGCGCAAAGTATGTATAATAACGGCGAAAAAAAATGATAGAACAGAGAGAGACATTTAAAAAAAGATGTACACGGGGGTGGCGATGAATAAATCGATTTGTGTGATCAAAAATAAATGTAATTACTGTCGATATTACGATTGTTGCAAGCTAAACCACGGTTAAATTATACTCAGCATTGTGCATTGTAATCAGCTTATTTCCTGGCGCATTATTCTGGGCAAAGATGAGGAGAATTGACCAGATAAATGGAGACACAATGGATTTATCAATAATCTCGTTGCAGTATCAACCACGTGCCTGTGATTTTTCCCAGCATCTTCATCACTTCCGCGCATGTTGTAAAATCTTAATTGATTGTAATTTCGTAATTTGTAATCAAAAGCAAATTCATATTTTTTATAGATAAATATAATTTTATTCTAAATTATAAAATCAAATATATTCTCACGTTAAAAAACATTTTGTTTAATTCCATAAAATTTATATTTTACTTTGATTATTTTTTTACTTTATTTTAATTTTTTATTTTATTTTATTATGTATTTCTATTTTTGTTTTGTTTTTTTTTATAATTCGTTAAACAAAAATAAAAATACATAAACAAAATAAAAAACATAAAAAATTAATTTTTTATAATTTATAGCGACTGAAATCTGACGATAACATTTAATGAATTTCAACGAAATAAACGTGACATTTATTCTTGCATGATTGTTTCATTACTCATTACTTTGCACGATATCAATGTCTACGTAAATATATATATAGTGTTATTTACTAAGAAGGTATAATCGCATTAGGAATAAATGCACGATCGAAGTTCAAAGCAAAGCCACGTGCATGGCACATTCTGGTGCATTTTGCATAGGTCACGTGTCAAAGGAAAATTTCAAAAGACACAACTTATTACATTTTTGTAGCGAATTCTCGATATATATTACATTTTCAATTTCACGCATTTTTTGCCATATATTTTATTAAAATTATTATTATATTTATTATTATATTAATATTTTATCAATATCACTAATATTTTATTATATATATAATAATTATTACTAATATTATTAAAAATCAAAAGAAATCGCGTCGTATGCGTAATTTATTAAAATACAAATACACATAATTTAATAATTAAAAAAATAAATATATATAAATAAAATAAGTTATTAAAAGAACACAATTTCTATCGTAAACTTTTATTTTTATCTTTAGTAAAAAAATAAATTTTTTCACAATTTAAAGTTATAAGAATAATATTTCAGTAGTTTTTAAAAAATATCCCATCATTCAAGAATATGGTTAGGAAAAATCACAGGCGAGCGTCTGCGAAAAGATTTCGCATCGAGCAAGAAAAAGAAATAAAAAATTGCGAATTGCTCTCACCTTCGTTGCGACTGACTGTTGCTGCAAGTGTTGGAGTATCCGGAGTCCGACACCTTGGCGTTCTTCACGGATACTTCCTCCATTTTGTGCGCGCGATCTCTTTTTCTATTGTTCAAATAAACTAATTTTTTTCAAAGACAAACGCACAACTGTCAAAAACCTCTCTCACCACGCGCGCGATATACTAGCGTTGAATTTACAACTCATCTCTCTCACTTCTCTCGATCCACTCGATGGATTGACGAGGAAGAGATCGACCTGGTGCCAGCACAATCCTCGACGAAGATCGCTTATGCGCGCGACGAAACGTACTACTGACGCTTGAAGTTGGCGGAGTGAGCCGCCGCTGCCGGCCGCACGTTCTGAGACACGTGACACCCGCCCCTCCTTTCCCGCCAATCTATTCGCAGCGGATTATACGGCCTACTTCGCTCCGGTCCCGATTGCGCTATCGGTGATCGAGATAGAATTATTAGCGTTATATGCTGACCCTAATTGACCCTTCGCTTAAATATCTCGTAAAAAAGATTTCCAGGATGCCAATCTTATATAATAATTTGTGAAAAAATTTTGAAGTTCTCGCAACAATTTTTGTTTAAAAGAGAAAGAGAGAAAAATAGAAATGTAAATTAAGGAATAGGATAAATAAGGAATATATATTAAAAAATTCGTGTATCATCGTACCTTCGTTATTTTACTGTACTTCTTTAATGCTCGACCTTTACTACTGCTCGTTGTCTGTGTTTGAACATATCTTTACTACTGCAAGTCTCATCTGAACGTATGGTTGCTTCACTTCGACACATTTAAAGTTTTCTGCTTCTTAAATTCTTGAAGAACTTGCAAAGAGAAGATACTCTATTTTCAATGATGGATTAAACTATAATCATATATCATATATGCAATTAAATTTATCACAAATGTAAAAAAATCAGATTAAATTTCATATATAATTTAAATAATTACTTTAAATATATATAATTATCTAAACTTTTTTAATTACTGAAAATAAATAGTGTGTATTATAGTTTTCTGCTTCTTAAATGCTTAAAGAGCTTGCAAAGGGAAGATACTCTACTTTTTAATAATGGATTAAACTATAATCATATATTACATGCAATTAAATATTACCACATATATCAAAAAATCAGATTAAATTTCATATATATTTCATATAATTATTTTAAATATATATAATTCTAAACTTTCTTAATTACTGAAAATAAATAAATATGTGTATATATATTATATATATAATTTTCAATAATTAAGAGAATATCCAAAAATAATGATAAAAAGAGATAATATATAAAGTCTCTTATTCGTCTAGTTATTTAAAGTAGAAATAATATTTATATAAAGCAAAGATATATATATAAAATAATAAACTCACAAATGCAAATGACACAACCGCATCGAAGAGTTATGTGTGTATAAAATATATAATATATTCTCTGTAAAACGTCGTTCCATATACAATATCGTAGAAACATTATAACAATCTCACGTCGCTATAAATAGTATCACAGTCTCTTCAGGTACAATGCTTCTTCCCCGTGGAATCCTCGCAGAATTCTGGAAACGAGAAGAACATATATTAGATCATCTCAGGAATAAATATCAGTTTTTTATGGACATGTGAACAGAAAATCATACAAAATTTTCCGTTCGAGCAATGAGAAAAAAAATTAAGTGAAAGAGTCGGTGTTTGGGGTTTATTGCGTATTCCATGTGTATTTGATATCACAAAAAAAAAGAACATGTCACAGTTACAGTCTCCTGAAACATCATTTGTTTTTACGGTCAATATTACAGTGTGAGTCTAATCGCACGTAGACGATACAAAAATGCGTATCCATTATCATTCAATGTTGTGCGTCGATCATTATTACGTGTATGAGGTTGTTCGGTTCCATGGATAAATCTAGATATTAGATTTTACTGGGAAAAATCGTCTGTTTTTTCTTCCTTCTATTTTAGTCTCGATAAACGACGAATTCTAACATATTTACGCTCTGTTTTTTTTTACTTTCCTAAACATAAACGATAATTTACACGCCAGCATATTTCGTTCGTACATCGATAGCTTTAAAAACAAGATGTGTTCACGTTAAAAGCATGTAACATATGGCAAATTTTATTAGTAGAGTATATTATATACTTTCTTCATATATGTATATATGTATATATATATATATATATATACATAAACACATACAATTTTTCAGTTATATATTAAAAGTCGAAAAATATTCACTGTTTCTCTGAGTAAATTCTTTTTTTTTCTTTAAGTCGTTGATCATTTTTTATATAGATATTTCTTAAAGTAGGAAATAAATAAAAACGTTCTTATTTAAAAAACAAAACTAAAAATTAAATTTTAAACAATAACATTTTTTTCTTTTTTGTGTAAAAAGTGTAATATATACACAAATAATAAACCATTTTATTACAAAATATTCTTAAATTAAAAATATTTGATAATAAACACGATCGATGTACGACATAAAGAGATTGAAAATATAACAAAGAATACTTCAAAGAACAAAATCCGAACCATGAACAATTATTGTACATAGGAATAAATATTTGCACCGGTATCTCAAGGTATTATAATCCATACCTTATTTTTTTGTAATTTCTTTTTTCTTATCCGCAATAACTTTAAATACGTATCGTCATGTAGAAGTTGTCAAATGGTGTATAAAGTACACGTTATTTTACTTCTTGCACGCAATGTAACTATAAAATAAAAATACAGAAATGTAATTATAAATAAAAGTTATTTCCCTCTTTTCCTAAACCTAAAGCACAGATTATATCTAAAAGCCTGTACGAACGGGTAGCACTCTTATTTAAAAAGAAATTTATTTTAGTGCATTCCGTTATTTCGCGTTTTATACATATAAAAAAATTTTATATTTTAATAGTATAGAAATATATTTCTGTTATTGAACGATAGAGTCACTATTTGTTTTATATATATGTATATATATTAACACAGAGTATTTGAAAAGGAATGATCAACAAAGTCTAGGACATGATTGTACATATCATTTTAAGAAAAAAGTTTATATAAACATGTGTCCTATTCGATTATAAAGATACAATGTCTTTAAGTTTAAGAACGAATACATTTATTAACATAATAAAATTAAATGCTTTGAAACAATTATATTAAATTTTCGTTGTTTTCTTTTACCATAATTACGAATGTAAACATTAGATAAGTTCTGTGTTAGTTTAAAATTTTTGGTTTCTAGTTTAATTAATGGTTCATATTCCTTCATATCAAAATTATTATTAATTCACATTATTATTTAATCCTTATGATTTATTCCAATTTATCGTAAACTTAAAATTTTATTTTTTAATAAAATTTGATTCTGTTAAATTAATAAATGTATTCATTCTTAAATCTAAACACGCTGTATCTTTATAAGTCCAGAAAAGAATATATTTATATAAACTTTTTACTTGAAATCAAGTGTACAATCATGTTCTAGTATTTCTCCTAACATTCCTCCTAAAATACCCTGAATATACAGGGTGTTTCAGGAGGAAAGGTACATATTTCAGGAGGTTGTAGTATGGGCCATTTTGAGTAAAAAAGTTCATATTAACATGTGTCCAAACTACAACTCCTGAAACACCCTGTATATAATATATAAATATATGTATAATATATAATACATCTATATATACATTATACATATATATACATATTTATAATATATATATATATATAAAACATATAATATAATCATACATATAATTATGTCATTATATATCCTTTTTTTACAAAGTCGTCAAATTAAAGCGACTTTTAATTGAAATAGCTCGGACGGTTCACCATCTGAGAAAATACGATCTGTATCGTCAATAATCAGATAACCTTCTACACAAATAAAGCTATAAATCGGAATAAAAAGAGGAAAGCTATCGCGGGAAACGAATCGGTACGTGCGTCTCATGCATCGGTAGGTACGCTTCGTTTCCTCCGACTTTCAAAAAGTCCTGCAGTTCGAGTGTAGAAAATGCACACATAGGACGTTCCTGGGATCCATGCGTTTACTAGGTGCACAGCGAACGAACGCTCAACGAAATCAACCGTTCGCACAAGCCTCTTAAAATAACAGAAACACGTACGAGTCCTCCGCGCGCGAACGCTATAAATCATGTGCGAACGAACATGTAAGAGGATAAAAGTAGTAGTAGTAATAGTAGAGTAGCAGTTAAAGGTTTCAGTAATGTTGTTGCACGAACGTAAAGCGAACAGTTAAATATATATATTATATATATATATTATATATAGGTAGGTAGTTGGAGTAGTTTTCCCTGGATGCAGGCCCTTGATGTGGTCAAGTGAGTAGTCTTTAAATTCGTCTCTTTTTTGTTGCGTGCGTCCGGCTTGTGTATACCAGTCAGTCTGTGAAGACAAACAGCAAAAATTACATTCTCTCCTGCCAGTTTCGTCTCCCCCCCGTGCCCGAGGAGGAAGAGGAGAAAGAAAAAAGAGGAAACAGGAAGAGAGGTAGAAAGAAAGAGAAAGAGAGAAATGACAGCGTCGGCAAAACACAATGTCGGGACAGTGTATTACAAAGAAATGCTTCTCTTTCCTTTTCGCGCCGCACTACGTTCGTCTACTACTTACGAGATACGAATTTTTTAAGAACCCGTTCAATTCTCGTCTTCATCCATCCGTAATCGTTTTCGCCGGTCTTCGCCGACGTTTCGTTCCTCCGCCTCTAACACCTTCAGTCGAGAACCGCAGATCTCTTGTCCGTGCAGAACCTAAGATAAAGTATTTTTAATTCAAGGATTCTTTTGTAACGAGTAGAGTCACCAGCGGATCCTGAAGTCGATAATGAAAGGGTTTCTACAAAATTATTTGGTTTAATACTGAAAATATTTTTGCAAATCGAATTATCATTTTTTTTAATTTGGAAGGTGGGTGTTAACTCTAAAACCACCCCTTCCCTTCCCTAAAATCCGCCAGTGAGTAGATTATAGATACAAAATTCTTCGTGATAAATGCAGCAATAAAAACCGTAGAAAAAAAAGACAAGATCTTACCTCAATGGCCTCGTTCGCACTTTCCACCTTGGAATATTTGGCGTAGCCGCAGTTTTTGCCGGGTAACATATATACATCTATGAGATTTCCGAACCTGCAAAATGCATCCTTCATGGCGTAGATGGGCGGTACCGGGGGACCACAAACGATGAAACACCTCTTGGCCACTTCGGCGTCGATACTCGCCATCGGTTGCGCAGGCGGCAGCCTTACAGATATGTGATCCAAGCCTAAAGAAAGAAACGTAGCGTCACTTTACACATAACTTCTTCTCAAGCTTCCCAGTAAAGTTGAAGTTTTACTCACTCGGTGCTGTCAATCCTGCGGCTTGAATCAACGACGTCGCTTGAGCGATTGTCTCCGCTAAATGCGCCAAGTCTGTCCTCGCGTTGGCGACGCTGCCGGTCGCCGTCGAACCACCCGGTTTTGACGCGTTCTTCGGCGGCGCGCTTGTCAAATCCGGTTTGACGATCATCCGGTGACCAGGCGGATACTCGAAACCGTGAAACTTCTCGCGCGCGTATGCAGCTGCGCTGGAATTGTTGTACACCACCACCGCTTGACCGCGTGGCATTCTGTATCTGACGTCGGCCTTCAGATGACAGTAGTCCAAACCGGGTACTATGTCGAACAACTTCCACAGTTGATCCTGATTCAGCGCAGGATGCGCGATCACCTGTAGACGCGTATAACCCTCCGAGTTGGAATAGTTGGTCGCGATCTCCAGGCTGATGCTGCTTTTGCCAAAGTTCGACGTGGCGTAAGAACTACTGCTACCGTCGTACGAGACGTTGGACAGACCATTGTTGTATTTGGCATCGTTATGATCGGGTTTTGGCTTCTTCGGCTCCGCGAAGACCGCTTTGTACTTCCTGTCGCACTCCTCGAACGCCCGTGCTGCGCTGGACACCTTCTTGAACTTGACGTAACCGAAGCCCTTGGACTCGTTCGTGCTGCGATCCTTCACCACGGTGGCGTACTCGATCGCACCGAACTTGGAGAACTCCTGCTGCAGCTCGCTGTCGGTCATCGTTTTCGGTAGAACGCAGAACAGTCGAACCCATCTCTCCTCTTCGTTCGTCTCGCGTACCGAACCCTGATCTCGGCTACAAAAATACATCAATCGTGAGATTAAAGACTATCGATTACAGATTACAAATCAAAAGAAGAAGCTGTCCAAGCTAAAAATATCTTTATAAATAAAAGTGTGATGGCGATGCTTACTTTGAGGCAATCATCACTTTGATAGGTCTGCCGACAGAGCCCAGCATCTTCCCGTTCATCTCCTCCAGAGCGAACGCAGCCTCCGACGTTTTGGAGAATTTAATATATGTAACACCTAGACAAACAAAAGAAAATTAGAAAAGATTTACTGATATGTCAAAATGATGAAAAAAAAACTGCATACTTTTTCCAAAGTATAAGACTCCAAAAGAAAAGCAACATAATATATACATAGACAGTATCAAGAGTGAACCTTGGTGGACCCTAGTCCACCTAAAAATATGCAGACTCACCCTTTGGTCCACCATTAGACCCTAATATATGTTGTCCAAGTCTGTCCAAGTTATATAGACTGCGTTCAGAAATGTCAGTTTCGTCATTCTATCTATGTTACTTACAGAAAGTTGAACAAACTCTGATGCAGATGTCAAATATCATTTCCGAACGCAGGCATTATACAAAATAAATAATTTGATCCAAAATTATAAACTAATCTTGGCCACTCTTGCATATTCCTAGACAAGTAACAAGAGATTAGAAAAGATTCACTGACATGTCAAAATGATGAAAAAAAACCTGCATATTTCTCCCAGAGTATAGGACTCCAAAAGAAGAACAACATAACGTATACATAGGTGGCACCAAAGGTGGGCCTTGATGGATTTAAAAATACACAGACTCACCCTTTGGCCCACCATTAGACCCTAATATATGTTGTCTCAGTCTGTCCAAGTTATATAGACTGCGTTCAGAAATGTCAGTTTCGTCATTCTATCTTTGTTACTTACAGAAAGTTGAACAAACTCTGATGCAGATGTCAAATATCATTTCCGAACACAGGCATTATACAAAATAAATAATTTCATCCAAAATTATAAACTAATCTTGGCCACTCTTGCATATTCCTAGACAAGTAACAAGAGATTAGAAAAGATTCACTGACATGTCAAAATGATGAAAAAAAAACCTGCATATTTCTCCCAGAGTATCGGACTCCAAAAGAAGAGCAACATAACGTATACATAGGTGGCACCAAAGGTGGGCCTTGATGGATTTAAAAATACACAGACTCACCCTTTGGTCCACCATTAAACCCTAAAAATATGTTGTCTCGCACTGTCCAAGTTATATAATACAATAAATAAATAATTCAGTCCATATAAACCCATCTTGACAACTCTTGCATACCCACAGTTCTGGCGCCGCTTATGAGCGCGTATTAGAAATAAAATAAAAAGAGAAAAATAGAGAGAAAAAAAAAAACAGATTCGCGCTATCCTATCGATTAATTTAATCCTGAACAGGACATCACATATCACCTTTATTCTCTCCCGTATTACGATCCTTGACCACCCAGATGTCCTCGATTTTGCCGAACTTCTCGAATGCCTTCCTGAGATCATCCTCCTCGAGGCTCTTGTGGCAGATGACGAAGAGACGCGAGTTCGGCGGGTCATCGTTCTTCGAGCGCAGATCTGTTTGCGAATGGTACGTTGCATCTCGTTCACGATGTTCAGCCATTTTCTTCGCGGATCACTAGCACTCCTTGCGAACAGGCAGTACAACAAGATCAAGCGCCCGCCAATTTCCCTCTTCTTCTACACCTCTTCGCCCAGGCTCTCCCCTCTGCCTGTGCTCGGTGACGTCATTTCCTTGCGCGCGAAAAATAACAGCGCTCTGCTCCCTTTACTTTAATCGCACTCTCTAGACTTAAAGCGAGATAACAAACGTTCGCGATTCGAAGAAAGGAGAGAGAAATCGTGAAATTATATACAGATCAGAAGCGGAGAGATCTGCAGATTCACGCTTGACATTTATTATTAATGCTATGAACGTGGTCTTGCCTAGATCACGTTTTTGTTTGTTTTATATTAGATGCGACTATCTCTGTATCTGAGAAAAAATATTTGATTGCGTTCCAATAATCATCGTACGTCTTATTGTAAATAAGATAACGGAATAAAATAAAATAATTGTAATTAACTCTAAAATTAAAAGGAATTGCAAGATTTATACAGCAAAAATGCAGTACACATTTTTAATTTTCGATACGTGGTTTCTCGCACATTATTGCACTCTTTTATCGAGATATAAATAAAAATTGATCATGTGTATGAAGCTTCTTAATGGCGTATAACATCGTATAAGTATATACGTGTATGTTAGTTCGACCTTGATGTTAAAAAAAGATTCGACTAATATAAAATATTCTTTAGAAAAACGCGATGCATATAGACTAAAAGCTGAAGCTTCAAGGCCGACTGGTTAGTAAAAAGGTAAACTGGTATCGAAGAGAAAAATTTCGAGTATACATTTAGAACTATTAATTAATTCATCAAGCTATCTGCGCGCGTGGAATAAATAAAACTGTCTTGCAAATAACGTACATAATAGCGCGATAAAATACATTTATGCAAAAAAAACAGGTAAATAAAAAATTTCTCCGTCATTCGAAATCATTACGACGGCGAACGCAATTAAAGAAAAAAAAATAATTGCGCAAAGTCGTTCCGGAGTCTCTATTCGTGAGCGCAACTAAACGACTGAAAGTGTCATGCTCCAATATCTCCATGTCCGTAGAAAGAGAGAAAAGTAACGTAATGTATAATGAATGAAATTCGCAATCCGCAACCACGGAACGTTTCACCGTAACCTGGTGGTCTTATATCTGCGTCTCTCCACTTCCTCTCGCAATTTCCATCTCCTTTTTCCTCTCGTTCGCTTGCGTCAGCATGCAATTCCAGCGATAATCTCGCTATCGTCCGAACGGGGTAAAAGCAGAACAAGTCTACAAATTTCGCTCGCTGTTTACGACCTGTGTCTATGACGCATATGCTTAAACGTCGTCAGGCACTCTTACGTTGACTTTTACAGAGTATAATGTACTTTAATCCGCGTTATGTAATACGTGCCTCATAGGAGTTTCCTAAAATATACATGAGACTTGCATGGAACGTCGTCGTTCGCGAAATAAAATGTCGCAGTAATGACGGTACAAGAGTATTTTACGCAGGAAGATTCGAAGAAAAATTATATCTGATTCATTCCTGTCTTATATATTCCTTTATACATAAAACTCGATATATATATTTTATCTATATAATATTGGAAAAGTATAGACTTCTTTCTTAACTTGCCTATTACTTATTTTAGAATTTGTATTATAATATGTTTTTACGAAAATATATATTTGGCAAAAAGAGATCGCGGAAAGAAAACAGGGTCGAATTAATATATAAATATCTTTGTTCATATTTTGTACCTTTCAGTTGTGGAATCAATGCGTATTAAATTATTTATCTCTGTCACAGTTATGCAACTATCACAACATAAATTGAATTATTACATGACCCGCATGTACTTGTAACAATTATATATATATATATATATATATAAATGTATTGTTGAAAAATACATTTATAATTATTACAAATCTCTCATATCATTTACATATATTATAAATAAATGTAAATTATAAAAATATCTCTTACATGATTTTAGTGCCGCAATATTTTCTGGCAATTATTTGTACATGATAGACCGTAATACTATCGGAAGATTCTCCGAGTTTACGCGTCGTACGTGGAGGCGGACACTTTTCCACCGTGTCCGGTCCAATTCGTGTGGACAAACTTTCCTTCCTTGCCGAGCAATTCGTACGTATGGGCGCCGAAGTAATCCCGTTGCGCCTGCAGTAAATTCGCCGGCAATCGGGGGTTTCTGAACCCGTCGTAGAAGGCCAGGGCAGTCGACAGAGCCGGAGTCGGGATGCCCATCGTTACGGCGGCGCCCACCACTATCCTGGCACTTTGGTTGCTGTCACGCAAAGCATTGGCGAAGAAATCGTCCAGCATCAAGTTGGACAATTTCGGATTTTGTCGTAAGCCGCTTTTATATTTCCCAAGAAGGCGCTGCAAAAAGATTACTGTCATTTTTTTCGAAAGAAAATTCACGCACGTTTCTATTTTAATTTTACATAAAAATAAAATGTATATATATATATATACTGTTATCATACTATACATAATTACATGCAATTTTTCTTTGCTTTAAATATAATATGAGATATTATTTTGACATGATAATAAGCGATATTTTCTTAAAGAAACAAGAGTTATCTCGCTTGACACCAGATATGAAATGTATCCTTGAAATATTTTGAACGCAACCTTGACATTTATATCTCCTTGTTATATACTTTCAAAGATATAAAGTCACTGGAAAAAGATCTGCGTGATATTGGCATGAGTCGATGAAGTCATAAGTTTTCGCGCGTACATTTCGGCCAATATTACCTCCTTATGATACATCCACCTCGCCACATCAACGCTATTCCGCCGTAGTTCAAGTTCCAGTTGTGAATCTTGGCGGCTTCTCTTAGCAGCATGAAACCTTGCGCGTACGAAATGATTTTCGCGGCGTACATAGCCTTCTTCAAATGGTCAAGAAACTGTTTCTTGTCGCCCTTGTATGTTAGATCCGGACCAGTTAAAATCGAGCTCGCCTCTACGCGTTCGTCCTTCAGCGCGGACAGACATCTGGAGAACACCGATTCGCCTATCAACGTAACCGGTACGCCATAATCCAGGGCGGCGATCGCCGTCCACTTGCCAGTGCCCTTCTGACCGGCGGTATCCTGATACGTTCGAGTAAATAGCCGTTCTCATCCTTGTACTTAAGTATGTCCCGCGTAATCTCGATCAGGAATGAATCCAGTTCGCCTTTGTTCCACTCATCGAACGTCGCGCTCATTTCCTGCTCCGTGAGCTGCAGACCTCTTCGCATTATGTGATACGCCTCGCAAATAATCTGCATGTCGCCGTACTCGATGCCGTTGTGCACCATCTTGACGAAATGTCCCGCACCGGTTTCGCCGACCCAATCGCAGCACGGCTCTCCATCAGCTTTCGCGGCTATCGACTAAAAAAATATTTCCGTAAATTATGTGTCTCTATAAATTTTTGATATTATAAACAATGATGGATTAAACATCACTACACACCTGAAAGATAGATTTAATATGCGGCCATGCTTTAGGATTGCCACCAGGCATCAAGGATGGTCCGTATCTGGCGCCATCCTCACCTCCGCTGACTCCACTGCCTACAAAAAGAATCCCTTTCTGCTCTAATTCCTTGGTACGTCTCTCAGTATCCTTGTACTCAGAATTACCACCATCGATGATAATGTCTCCAGGAGAAAGTAAAGGCACTAATTGTTCAATAAAGGCATCAACGGCTGCTCCAGCTACATTGATACATTAAATTTTGTTATTTTATCACTATAGCATTTATTATCTACTGTTGTAGACTTTTAATTATAATAGTAAAAGAGATCACCTTTGACTAATAACATTACTCTCCTTGGACTCTTTAAAGTACTGACCATTTCCTTCATGCTATAAGCACCGATAACTTTTGTGCCCTTGGCTTCGTTCTCAAGGAAAGACTTGACTTTTTCAGTAGTACGGTTGTACGCACATACAACAAATCCATGATCGTTCATGTTCAAAATTAAATTCTGTCCCATCACCGCTAAGCCAATGAGGGCAATATCTGCTGTTCTGAAAACAAAAAAACATTTATGTTAATTGAAATTCTATAAAAAAGTAATTTTCTTCTTGCATTATATATATTAAGAAAAACATTTTCATAATTATCGTTAGACAGCCCAATCTAAAATATTTTGACTAATTGCTCTCTTTTATATACAACACTTTATTATAATATTTTATAGTATAAAATCTTGAATAAATTCACAGCAATTAATAATAAATTAAAAAATAAAAAGTATTAATTTTCTTGAATTATATAATTAAGAAAAAAATTCTCAATATTGTCTCATCATTAGACAGCCCAATGCAAAATATTTTAACTAATTGCTCTCTTTTACTACAATACTTTATTATATTTTATAATATAAAATCTTGAATAATTTCACGGCAATTAATAATGAATTAAAAAATACGTTCATAATCTCTACAGTTAATAGTTCTCTCGATAAACATTGTTAAATTAGATATTCGGCTGTAAATAATTCGAATGACCGAACGCTCGTAAAATCTAATGAAATAAAATCGAAGGTGCTCGAAAGTCGAATGAATGACTTTCCTTTTCATTCGCGACATTATTAATTCTTGTTCCAAGAAAATAACATAAATATACTCACGGAGTACTCATATTTGCGGTGCTTTCAAAAGATGAGAGGAGGAGGAACTAAATAAACGTGGAATATCTGCGGAAGACGATTTTGCAGAAGAACAACAAGTGGTCGTCGTCCAATGCTTCTGGGCGCTTCTCGTCGAAAGAGAACGTGTTGTCGAGTGTGCGACGTGTGTGAAATGAGATGCAGACGACATGACATGCGCCTGACGCGGATCAGCTGATACGGCGCGAGCCAATCGCAGAACGCGCCGGGTCAGCAGAGCCTTCGAACATTGCCTCGAAAATTGTTGTAATTATACGATGATGATGCAGCGCGTTACAATAAATATCGTCAATCTTATGACGTAAGCGCAGCGCTTATCCACATCACGAATTTGTTGAATGTTTCTGAGAGATTCCCCTTCGAAAATCATATCGCCGTGAGGCTGAATTCGAGCAAATTGATAATTTAGTTTTGTTAAAGCGGAGCGATTTCCCGCCAAAAGGAGGTGTCAAAAATAATTAAAATTCTGCATTTCTTACTAATTGTAAGTTTTGCAATTTCAAAATATTTCTCTGAAAGATTCCCCGTAAATGGCCAACAAAGCGAAATTCCATCGAAATATGATCCATTTTCCTGTCCTACTTTCTTTAGACAAAAATTCCACAATAAAATTACATAAAAATGTATTAAGAAAATATATTTTTTAGTCGTACAAAAATTCGTTAAAAATGTTTAACCTTTTAATATTTCGGAAATATCTGCATAATTTTTTACGTAGTATAAAATTATATAGTATATAAAATATAAAATCTAATTAAAACAAAATATAAAAACTCACTCATTCGGACGATTCTTCAAACGTATTAAGAGACACACATATATTTATTACTCGTTAACTGCTTATCTCTTCGCAAACTTAGGACCAGTTTCATTTTTCACTCGGCCAAAATTAAATTTAAAAATGACCAACTCATAGATATGTCTATATAGACATCTGTGGAACAACTGCAAAAGTTAAAATCTGCGAGATAAATATCTCGATCGAGTTCGAGATTCGAGAATCGATATCTCGATCTCGAAGCGCGGCAGCAGCGCCGCGCTCGGGGCGTGCTGCGATTGCGATACGCGTCGATTGCGTGCGGAAGCAACATGTCGCGTCTTGCCTGAACGGAGCATTCCGCACGGTTTGACAGTTCGCTCGCGTCTCTCTGTCCGTGCGTCACCCATCCGTCTCTTCTCTGTCCGCGTCCGAATCGTGCATCCCCGCCTGCGTCTCTCGAACGCGTCCGTCGATGTCCCGGTGCGATTATGACGTCGCACCGCGAGTCGCTAATCCGACGTAGTGTCCTCCACCGAGGCGAACCTAACCCCGAGACAATGAACCGCCCTGTTCCCGAGACGTTCTCCTAATCGCGAGCGGATTTCTGCGGGGCATCGTACGGATTTTTCGATCGTCTTGAGCTTGAAGAAGGAGGGTCGACCATGGGTCTGCTGTTCGCGAAGCTGTGGAGCTTCTTCGGCACCGAAGGTGAATACCCCGCACAATCATTCGTAATCTCCCCTTCTTCCTCCCTTCTCTCCTCTTGTTTTCACACAATCGTCGTGCATATGTTTATATGACACGTGCGAGAAAGTCATTTCGTTCGATGACGTCGAGCCTTCGCTTCGAGAATTTAATTTGCGCTCGAATTAGACGTTCTGACGTCAAACTAGACGCTGGAGATATTTTGGAGTTTGTTTTATTTATTCAATGTATTCTTTGCGTCATTCGTTTCGTCAAGTTTATCATGTTAAATTCCGCGGATCAGCAAATGTTAACTCACTTATGCGTTTTAGAAATTCTTATAAATGTACACGCACTGCCCTACTTTCTAATCTGTTAACATATGCTGTCAAGTCATCAATGATTTCTTCGTTTTAAAATGTAGCTTTCGAACGTGAATTTGTTCCTAGTTTGATTTATTTCTACTGAATTTTCCAATCCCTAGATTCAGAATTTTGCATACATCTTTTATGAAAATTTATTCTGCTGATAACTTTTGGTTTTTCAATAAATATTTTAATTTTTATATTCCAGCTTTTTTTTCTTTTTATTTTTATCTTTATTATATTATAAATTTTATATTTTTATTATATTACATTCCATGTGTTATAACATATATATAAAATTATTTTTATTATCCATATATATATATATATATATATATATATATGGATAATAAAAATAATTTTATTTTGTAAAATTTTTGTTCAATATTTCAAATTATAATTCCAGCCTTATCAAACTGTTAAAGTTACAAGTCAGTCCCTTAATTATATCTGAATATTCTTCAACAAACAAAATCTGTCTAATTGCATAATCTTTGCAAAATATTTCAGCTCTTTGAAATAATTGTATCAACAAGAAATTTGTCGTTTTCAGAGCATAAGATAGTTATGGTCGGTCTGGACAATGCCGGAAAGACAACTATATTGTACCAATTCCTGATGAATGAGGTTGTTCACACGTCTCCGACCATTGGATCTAATGTGGAGGAAGTGGTGTGGAAGAACATTCATTTTATCATGTGGGATCTAGGTGGCCAGCAAAGTCTGAGAGCCGCCTGGTCCACTTATTACACAAACACCGAGTTTATCATTATGGTGATAGACAGTACAGATCGTGAGCGACTCGGTGTAATTAGGGAAGAGTTATATTCGATGTTGAATCACGAGGAGTTGAGCAAGGCCAATGTTCTGGTGTATGCCAACAAGCAAGACTTGAAGGGCAGCATGACCGCTGCTGAGATTTCAAGGCAACTGGATCTAACGTCTATCAAAAAACATCAATGGCATATACAGAGCTGTTGTGCACTCACGGGAGAAGGGTAAGATAAGGGATCTATAGCTGTTTGCTATTCTTGTGATAAGGGAGATAAAATGTGAAATAAATATGAAACCAAAAAATGTTTCAGGCTGTACCAGGGTCTGGAATGGATTGTCGGACGCTTGAAAAAAACATGACGTACATTATGAGAATTGATTATAAATCTAACGAAATATCCAAAATGTAAATTACATTATTAACATAAGTATCTCAGAGTTAGAAACACACACACTTTGACGGTTATACGAAAGAGGAAAGCAGCCTAGACAAGAGGTCGTATTTAGTTAGTCATTATTTAAATCTCCCGGTATGACTCTCAAAGTGCATCTGATCGCGTTATTACAAACGGTGGACGGGTGAGTCTGCTCATCAAGCTATTATTATATCGCGCTGTAAGATACAAACGCAATAGAAACGCACGGCTATTTATTAGTGATAGAGAGAAAGTTTGGTATTAATTATTATGTAAAGTATATTGGTACCGAGAGTTTTCTCTGGTCTACAGTATACATTCAATGCGGAACGAAAATGAAATAAAGAAAAATAAGATATTAAGTGCGCATATTAAAAAAGATAATAATTCTTTACTCGCGAAACACGTACGAAATATGCACGCATTTAACTGCCATAAACGATTATCAAATATGTATCGAGCCATAAATTCATAGTTCAGTCGCTTCCATTAAAAGTATTATATCGATTGCTTATGCAAATTATATTACGTGACTGAGGAGCGCGAGACTTTTCATCCCGTCCACCTGCACTCGACAATGGAAAAAACAGACAGATGAAGATATAACTAACTAGTTATTTCTACTCAGTTGACATATATAAGAGCGCAACAAAAGTGCACCTGTGTACATAGTTTTTTATACTTCTCGTTAAGAGAGCGTGCTATGTAAGAAACGAAGACCGGAAAAGAAAAGAATGTCGGACGAGGGAGGGTACGAGATTTAACGACGTTTACGTTTTACGTAAAAGGGCCCGAGCAGATTCGCGGCAAGGTCACCCGATCGATGAGAAACCTTTCGTGGCAGAATACGAACTGCTCTGTGATACGTGGATTCAATTCTGAGACAGTTGTTTGCTGGACAGATAACGAAAGATACGAATGATGGAAAAGCAATCAAGGATTAATAGATAAAACTGATAACGCGTGTAGGAAGACTGACGATATCTTCCAAGATAAAACGCACAGATAGTATCGCGATTGGTGAATGAAAACTCTTGAATAAAAAAAAACTCGTGCGCTTTCTCGCTGATTATTTTTCTTAGTCCTTTCGATTTATTTCCTTTTATTTTTTCTAGATCGACCAAGAGCAGCTTTAAAAGCATCTTAATTCTAATTAATATACGTTACTATTACAATTATTCTAATTGTTGTAAATAGTTGTTATAATTATTTTATAATTTAATTGTCTAAGCATTCACCCGCGATTACTATATGCCGAGAAAATGACGAGAGGGACGTTCGCAAGGAAATTGCAACAAAATTTTGCACGAAATTTCCTTGTTTCCCCCCAACTGACAGCTGTCTCGATTTTGTTTTTTATTTAAATTAAGTATGTACCATCTATCTTTTATGTAGCGCGTAAAATACTCCAATAGATATAATATTAACATTGTGTAGCTTAAATGAAAAAAAGGAACTATATCAATGCTGAGAGAAATTACCGGATCAACGGATATACGCCAAAATTAATTATAGGAAATTGTTATTAACATCACCGCGCGAGAAATATAAATGCCGTCTAATGCAAGAGTGAGATCTTAACGCTTAAAAGTTACATAAAAGTTAATTACGTCAGCTTTCTCATATTGAGAGAGAAACGGGTTCTAGATGTTGATGACATATGATGTATCTCGTGTGCACATTGTTTCCCCGTTTCGAAATTCTATACGCGGGGCTATTATGTCGAATTTATCCTCGGACGTGTCCGTCTTCTCTATGTAATTGTGTAAAAAACTTTTGTGAAATGTAAAGTACAAGACATAGGTTGTTTTAACATTAATCGATTGTTGACGGAGCGTAAAAAAAAAGAAGATATAATTCGTGCTGGTTTTGCGAATTCCTCACGGTTTGACCGTCGAAATAACCATTATGAAACAAATCAATTTTCGCGATTTATTGATCTTTACCTATTAATATTGTATAATATGTATAAGCCCCAGGGGAAGTGTCCCCTGTACAACTTTATTAAGTAAAGGCTAAAATGTGCGATGTCAAATAAATCAGTTTCTATCAATAAGAAACAGATATCTGTTCTCTATTATTTTTCTGATTCGCCATAATAATTCCATCCCTCTTTTCATTTTTGCATTTTTATAAAAAATATTAGTATTATCATTGTTGTAGGTAGATTCGAATAGAACGTACATCAATTTAAATCGCTCAGTGTCGAAATTGATAAATACGCTATTATAAAAATATCGTTTTAAAATTTTATCTGAACCATTGAAATTTTCGGCACGAAAAAAAATTACATTTAAAATTATGCATTTCATTTACGTTTTGAGTTCTGAGCGTGAAAGGAAGAATTTTAGCTTTACCTTTAGTCGTCCATTTATTTTCACATTTTCATTATAAATAAGATACGCACACGCTCATTCATTCTGATATAACAGTGGTTCCAGCACTAGTCATGCTTCTTAATTTTACGCGCGACGACTCGCCACGAACGAGTAACCACGTCGGCCGTTCGACAAGACTATTGACTGCTATATATTTACGTGCTTGTTGCATCACTTTGCATACGTATTGCTCGCTTTTAAGTATTTCCGCAACTACACAGCGCAATTTGCGGCACAGTAAGTAACATTATTCTTTTTTGCCATTCTAAGGACAACTAATTACAATAAACTTCCTGAGGCAGAGATGGGACAGTAAGTTAACGATCAGGAGAATTACATTCGAATTATTATTTAATTCGCATTTTTTAGCTACTATTGTCTCCAAATCTATCATCTATTTATGAAAATTCTTACAATAAAATTTATACTTTTTTTTATTAATTAAATAATTTAAAAAATGTGATATATACTTTTGGGCAGTATATCTCTCGAATGACGAGGCAAGACAGTAACATTACAATGTACTAATTCCTACAACGTGCCATTATCGAGCTCATACAACGCAAAAGTCCTAGAGATACCCAAGAAAATCGAATAATGCCTGAATTGGATTGGATCATCTTCTAGACATTTAAACGATGTTTCTTGGATGTCAATCAACGCATTATTGAATATTGAGAGCAATGAGTGTATTTACAATAATTCTTCATCTATCTCTGATGCGTCTCTCTGTTTTATGTGTATTTTCAAATAATGTTAAATCTCATGAAAGACGTCTTTCAAAAATCTAAGAGATATTTCCGTATTTAAAGATGTTTCAAACGCTTTCATCTCTTGAATTTGTACGCTGTCTTTTGGATTTTTTCCTCACAAGCTTTTGGCAGTTTCCACTATTGGACCAATCTACGTTTCCGCTTAAAGCAGTTACGCCGTGATAACTGCATCTCGTTTAATATTTTTCCCCGTAATCGATACTTCTCGAATATCAACAATTCGAAAATCGTATTAATTAGAATAATATATATATAATTATTAATTACAATAATATATAATTATTATATTTATCATAATATATAAATTTGTAATCGCTTATATTCAAAAGTACCGAACGGAAGAAAAAAATAAATTCAAATTCCGCCTCATTTCCGACGCGGAATATTGATGTATTTGCTCTTAATTCTACATTTAGATAATACATTATTATGACATAATTATTTGTCGTGTTTAATACCTAGCCTTGTCTCATTCGCACATTCTTTTTCTCTTTCTTTCATTCTCTCTCTCATTCTCTGCACAATTCATACTCTCGTTCACTTGATAAGGCGCAGGATCGTTGAGGTGATTCTGTCGAGGTCGGTATCAAAATACCTTTTCGCAAAGTTCCCGGCGTCGCTTGAACGAGATCGGGACGACGAGATTGACTGATAAAGTGACGCCGATAACTAATCGTCGATTAAGTGACAGACGTATGTTCTTAAGCCTTGACAGCTTTCATAAGGAGTTCGGTGCTGAGGGACTTAGGCCTCTCGATGGGCAATCCTAGAGCGCGATCCCACACCAGGGAGGCGAGCACGCCCAACGCGCGCGACACGCCGAACAGAACAGTGTAGTAGTTCATCTCTTTCATGCCGTAGTATTGCAGCAGCACGCCCGAATGAGCGTCCACGTTCGGCCACGGGTTTTTCACCTTGCCGGTCTCCAGTAGAACCGGCGGTACCACTTTGTACACCTGCGCGACCAACTGCAAAACAGAAAATTACATCAATATTGAAGTCTGATAGTCTGAAATATTATATAATGCCTAGTATTATTCAAATTTAATTTCCACTTAAAATATTAATTTTATAACAAAATAATATGTTACTATGTACACATTCGATGTTCCAAATCATGAAAACGCGTGATTTACCTTGAACAACGGGTCGTCCGGCAAATGTTTTAGCGCAAACTCCCTCTGGCAGGTGTATCTCGGATCGGTTTTCCTGAGAACGGCGTGTCCGTAACCGGGCACGACCTGGCCGCTCTTCAAGGTATTCCAGATGAACTCTTTGAGCTTGTCGTCGCTCGGACTGTCGCCGACCTGAGAGCGCAGCTTCTCCAACCACACCAGCACCTCCTGATTGGCCAGTCCATGCAACGGTCCGGCCAGACCATTCATACCAGCGGAGAAGGACAGGTACGGATCCGACAGAGCCGATCCTACCAAATGAGTAGTATGCGCGGACACGTTACCACCCTCGTGATCCGAATGAATCGTCAGATAGAGACGCATCAGCTCGATGAACTGTGGATTATCGTAGCCGAGCATGTTGGCGAAGTTCCAGGACCAATCCTTGCCGGCGTCGACCGAGCCCAGGCCTTTGCCGCCCTTGTAGAGATTACGGTAAATGGTCGCCGCCACCACCGGAAGTTTGGCGATCAGGTTCATCGAGTCCTCGTACACGGTCTCCCAGTACTTGCTCTTGTGCACGCCCTTATTGTACGCCTTGACGAACTCGCTCTCACTGTTGAGCAACGTGATTGCCGCGGAGAACTGCGTCATCGGGTGCAGGCTCTTGGGGAAGTTGTTGAGGGCCTTGACCACGTGTTCAGGTAACGAGCTCCTGGACGCCCATTCCTGCGAGATGGCTTTCACTTGCGCTTCCGTGGGCACGTCGCCGGTGATCAGCAACCAGAAGAGACCCTCCGGAAGCGGTTCCGCGCCACCGGCCGCCTTCGGCAACAGTTTCTGACACTCGGGGATCGACTTGCCGCGGAAACGGATGCCCTCCTCGGGGTCGAGCACCGATGGCTCCCACACGAGACCCTTGATGCCTCGCATACCGCCGTACATCTGCAATTGATATATTAATTAATATATGTTGATAATAGAATAAAATTAATAAGTAAAATTAATAAATAAATTAAATAAAATTAAATAAAATTAATAAATAAAAATAAAATTAATATACAATATCGCGTAGGGATAAAATATATGCCTCTTAATAAATTACAAAAGATCGAATACGAATTTCCCGAGTTGTTAAAAAATTGTTCCCGCAGTAATTAACATTAACAGCATTCTTTGTCTAATAGCCGGATTTGTCCGGGATTCACTTATCGTCGTAACCTTTCTCGATATTTCGAGATGCTTTTAATTGATCAAGAAAAGGTCATAGAGATAAATAAATGTGGACAAATATACATATATATAGAACGATTAATGAGGTCTTCACGTGCGATGAGTAAGATCGTCACATGAGAGCTCGCGATCCGTTTGATGACGATTAAATCCCCCGCGCTGAGAATTTCGATCGATAATCGTCTGCTAAAAAATACGTATTACTTGTCGATGTCGCAAGAAGCATCTGCATGCGCGAATGGGAGACTTGTCAATGCGTGATATAGTTATCATATAATTAGCACGCGATCCCGCGATCATTTCATGGTCCTTATCGAAGGATAAAAAAATAGCTCGTCGTAGAATTTTATGTGGAATCTTAAATTTCCTCTCCCATTTGTCACCCGAGAATTCATGATTATTGCAATTAATTATCAATATCGTAATTATACACTATAATATATCTAATTTTAACCACTATATGTATTAATAAAATGAGATTATAAAAGAGAAGTTTTACATAAATTATATCTCTCATTTCAAGAGAGATAAAATAAAAGGATACGAAAGTTTAAAATAAAATATGAATTTTAATAAGATTGAGCTATTCTTTTTTTTTGTTATGTGTAATGCTATTTCTCTTCAATAAAAAATGTATTTGTTAGCAATAAGATGCATACCATGTCGACGGTAACTTCGCCGACTTTGGTGGCTCCATGATTCTTACGGAAGGCTTTGACTCGTTCCTGCTCCTGCGGAATCTTATCCGTGAGAATCCTCCTGAGATCCGTGGATGCATCGGTCAGTTGTCGCACGAAGACCGTCGACGTTATTTTCTGAAAAATAAAGAAAGAGGTGTCATGATAAAAATCGAGTTGCTAAGAATAACAGAATGCATTAAAAGTCTCTGGATAAATGCAAAAAAGAATTAATTATTAAACGTACTATAAGACCGTGAAAAATTTTCACTTTACAAATTCTCCAAGTTGAATTCTATTATTTAATTATATAAAATAAAATTAGAATAATTACTATAATAAAATAAAATTATATTAATTATTACAATAAAATAAAATTAGAATAATTACTATAATAAAATAAAATTATATTAATTATTACAATAAAATAAAATTATATTAATTACTAGTTTAATAAGTTTAATATCCTATAAAAATGAATAAAAAATATATTTTTTTCAGTTTTGTCTTTTCAAATTATTTCCTCAAGACAGATCTCTCTGACTCCATGTTTTGATTTGATGGATATATTTCATACATAATTGTATGCGTTATGTAAAAAGAATTATCACGCTGGAGAAGGCACACGTGGATTACATAAACAAGACACAACTTTAACCCAAAAAATTATCAACTGTCAACTACACACACAAGTGTTTATCGGGCTTTTATGAGTAGCAATTTCATTAAGAAACGACAATTCCTAAAAACTGCTTCTCCAGGTATGTAATTCATGAAATTATGACGTCACATGATTACGTTTGACAGTAAGAATCAATTTTTAATTATAATTATTTGAATAAGGAGTTATTTATTTATTGTAAAAATTATAATTTAACGTCAAAAAATGAAGTTGTAAATTATTATAAAAAAACAATCTTTAAATTAATATTATCAATTTAATTCAAAGATTAGAGAAACCGCGATTAAGTTACGATTATTCGAAAATTATGTAGTAATTGCGTTTTTTTTTTTTTTTTTTTTTTTTAAACGTTCGACCGACGTTTTGATGACGCAAAAAAAATTATTTCTCGTCTCGACACGCACCATCGAATGTCATGAAAATTTAAGATAAGAGTGAGGTCGCGGGATCTCGTGTTCGAGGTCATTATCAGCTCGCGGAAACGCCATCGGCATAAATTGATTACCTCCCCTTTCCCTCCCCTTCACTTCTTTATGTCATTTACTTTTCGCAGAGGATAGCAAGTAACTCTAAATTGCCAACTAAGTAAATCATCTTCAATAAGATAAAGAGTCCAATTTGAAAATAAAGATACGCAAGTTAAACATCTCAAAGTCAAACGCAAAATTTAGAACATTGTAGAACATATAAAATTCACAAATCTCTCATTTATTGTCAGTCAAGTAGCAGAAATAGTGTAATATACAAATATAAATATAATATAATATCAAATTAATAAAACAATTATATTATTATTTTATTATTTATATTAATATATTATTATTATGAATATATTAATATTGTAATATCTTTCAGCAATAATAATAAATTAATAGCGAAGAAAAATAATTGCTAGATAATAATGATAAATTGATAAAAAAAAATGTTTGCAAGAAATATGATGAACTCAGCGATGATGAACTCAGCGATATATGAATATTCAAACTTTGGCGAGAGAGAAGCTGAAGATTTATTACGTAATCGTAATATATAAGACACGCGTATACCGGAACGAATACAACGCGATCCGATATGCGATCGTATATAATTTTATCTTTTTCTTTTTTGTAAACGAAAGTGACGTATTCGTTTAAAACCCCATTCATGTGCGTTACGTCGAATACGTTGAAATCGGGGATATTTATTCGTGCAGAATTTATTTGACGCGCGCGTAATAGAAGTCAACTTGAATACTTGTGTACACAGAACAACACTTACTTAGCAGGTAATCGAGTCAAGGTAAAGTATAGTATGAAGTCATGAAGCGAATGTCACGATGAGTGAATCTCGAAACAATGAGACCTCACTGACGAGAATTTTTCAATTCATAAAAGCAAATTTTCTTCAAATATTTTAATTAAATAATCATTTTAATTAATGATCAATTTATTACCTTTTTAATGATTTTTTTATTACCACAAGAGACCAATTTTTCTATTAAACTTTTTATAATAGTTTTCCAGATCTTTATAAATGTTTAATATATACAAGATATTTTTTTATGTAATCATCTTTCATATACACATTATAAAAGAAAACATAACTATTAGGAAGATAAAAATTCCGTAATATTAAACTTGATATTTTTATTCGTTTATCTTTGACGTCTTTAAACAGTCTATTACTAATTTTTATTAATTAATAATTTTTTTTTCCATTATCACATTAAGTGGAATATCATTAAGTGACTTCTCAGAATGGCTGTTACAGTAAGTCATTGGATTTTCCGTCTTTAAAATTACATTACTAGATTGAAAGTCTTTAAAAAGCCATCAAAACGTATTCTTCTTTAGAAAAGAAATTCCATTAATTTCTTATATTTATTTTCTCTCAAAATAATATCTATTATCTTTTTCAATATATAGTTTAAAATAATTATTCACCGATAACTATATTGAAAATATACGTGACGAGATAAAAAAGTACTGCGATAAGCAAAAAGCCATTTGTTTTTTAAATATAGGTCACAATGAAAGGAATAGTTTCTACGAATGCAAAATTATGCAAAGCACACAACAAAGGCAAGGAAAAAAACTAAAATACTAATGCGAGATTAATTAACACATTTATAAAATACTTCGACGGATTTACAAATGATAAGTAAATATGTAAAGAAATACATTATATATCGTATGCATTTTTATTAAAATTTGTCTGCCTTCTCTAAAAGACATTCTTTTAATTAGATTGATCGAAAGGAAACAAAGTGTCTCGCATTCTGCCACGGTGCACCTTTAAATTCGAGTGTCTCGGTTCAAAGGTCGCAGCTCTTATCATCCGTTTGATAGCGCATATGTTATTTTTACGCAAAAAGGCGGGAACACGCGTGCGATTACATAAGTAAATGCGAGGCCTGCATTTCAATCCGATCTGTTCAATCTTGCTATACAAAGTACGACTTTGTCTTTTTGACGAAGACATCTTCCATTGAAAGAGACGAGGCAAAAATTCTCGACCGATATGTTACGAAACATTTAAACAAAGCCTATAAAAAATTAGGCGCTTTAAATAATATTTTTTCGATTACAATTTCTATATTTATTGTCAATTATAATAATAATTGAATATTATTTTAAAAGAAAATTGAAAAATATAAAGAATTGAAAAATTCAAAGAAATTTCTTTGAATTTTTCAATTTTCTTTTAAAATAAATATATGTATAATATAAATATATATAAATATTTTAATATATATAAATATATTAAAAAATATATGTTGGAACTTCCGTCGATAATATTTTGCATCGCGATCAGCTGAACAAGAAAATATTGTTATCGGATAGAACACGAGATTCGGGAAAGAAGCCAATGGCATGGCTAAAAATAAAGGAAACTTGTGCAAATCGGGTTACCGATGGAATTCGGACACGTTATATGTGAATCTGATAAGATACAGGATTTCCTAAAAATATTGGAAATCTCTTTCTCAAATACATTAATTCATTACACTGAAAAAAATTTTTTGAATTCGAATAAATATTTATTTCAATACTGCCAAAGGAATCATTTATTTGAAACTAATAATATTGATTTGATATACAAAATATTTATTTAATATAAGAAAGTCCTTTAAATTTCAAGGAAAAGAAGTGATATAATTGTTAATAAATAATAATAATAATTTATAAGTGAGATAATAATTTATAAGCGAGATTAATGATAATGAACTTTCGTGATAAAACCTCTGTGATTTTGTCAATTGCGCAATTGTTATCTTAATCTTTAATTTGCGACAATAAATATTCGAGTGGGTATTAAAAATATCATCGATTGACAATTTCCTGTTTTTGAATCGAAAAAACACAATGTTTATCAAGATTCAATTCAATGAAAGTTTAGATAGCGGGAGATCGATTGAATAATAATCGGAAGATGCCTGATTTCGAGGGTCAATCAATTTGCCTACAGCAAATCCGTTTAACCTTTTAATATATGCCGTTAACCTATTAAACCCGGCAATTCTAATCATTTTAGAAACGACAATGTCTTGCAATACTTAAATATCTCCAAAATTATATTTGTAAAAAAAAGATTTTGCTCATTGAATTCTATTTCTAATAAATTATTATTAATTACGTGTCGGAGCACAATTATAAATGTTTATTTTATTTCCTAGAGTATATTTTCAATATCTTCTCTCTCTTTATTTTGTCTTTCTTATTTATTTTCAAAAAATTGCGGTGATAACTTATTATTGAGCTGTACTAATTATTGACAAGACTGAAGTGGATTAATTCGCTGACTCGTCACTCGTTAAATTGAGTTATGCAGATGCATTGTGTGAAATGCGAGCGGCATCACTTATGATATGCAACGTGAGATTATTTCAGGTTAAATTGCAAACGCGTCGATATTATCACATGGGAGGTCGTCGCAAAACACATATGATGTACATGCGAGTCAACTTAAGCGTATCGGAATGTCACAAGGCTTCAGTGACACTGTGTGTATCGAAAAACAAATTATATAAGTTTATAAGACTTGGAAATATATATTAAATAATATATCAATATATCAATATAAAATTAATATATTATTATTAGTACATTAATATATTATATATATATATATATTTATATATTATATATTATATATTATATTATACATTATTAAAATATATAATATATTATATATTATATATTTTAATGGCTAAAACAGTAGTAAATGAAATAAATAGAGAACCGAGATTACATCCCAAGTAGCAAACTGTCGTCATTAAACGTCAAAATGACGCATGCTTGCTACCTGAATATTTCATTATTACTTGATAAATTCTCTTGCAGAAGTTGAGATGGCGTAAATATGAAATTAACAAAAATCTATTCTAAAACAAGAGAGTCACAAATATGATAAGAACTAATAAAGTTTTTAATATGTCTAGATCTTCTTGGCAAATGATAACAAAGTTTAGTCTAGC